ATGAACATTCCTGCTTTTGTGATGGGTTCCTCGATAACCAATGTGCCGTGTCCTTCCTAGTTCTCAACGTGCCTTATAGTGAAGGCAAGAAAATATCTTCGTGGCAAAACTTGCATATATATATGCAATGGAGAATCTTAGATAAAATAGTCACTGCAAAAATTAGAGAGTAGAACTTACTAGTACTACGCCGAAGACTTCAATTACACGTCTTCTCCAAATGAGAGCGGAAGCCAGATCACCTTACACGTGCAGGAAGTCGCTGCAATTGTGATAGGCAGTGCATGTATGGATTCCCGCACCCTCTGCAAGCCACCACGACAGTTGATGAATACGGACGAGTTCACTGGCGAAGGCGTAAGGAAGACCGTTGGGTGGTACCCTATTGCTCGGCGTTATTGGACTTCGCAGACTGTCATTTTCATTTTGACGTGGTCTACACCGCCAAGGTGTTCAGTTATCTTTACAAGTACCTGTACAAAGGTCCGGACCGTGCCTTAGTATTGGCTGTCAACAACATCGACGATGGAGCTCCTCGACTTCAGCCAATCAACGAAGTCGACGACTATCAAAAAGCACGATATTTATCAGCTCCTGAAGCAGCTTGGCGCATCCTTGGGTTTGAGATCACACAAAAAGAACCTTCTGTCGCACCTGTTGGTGGCAGAGTTATGCATAACCATTGCTAATTACAGACGTGACGGTTATGCATAGATGTCGCGGGACCCTCGACATCATGCATAACACCCTCGTGGTCCAACTCAGTGCCCTTCTATTCCAAATTCGTGATAGATATCCTCAGCATGGTCCAATGCCCAATCTGACCTGTGATCTCGGGTAACTCGTGTCAGCTTCTGTTCTTCCCTCGTGAGAAACACCAAATCTTAGATAGATTGTTTGAAAAAATGTATAAATGCAAATAATAAAATGGTGGTGGGAGCGGTACTTGTATTCACATTGGAGGGATTTCTGTAGTGGTGGCCAAGAACATAATACGTACAAGTATGAGTAATGTAGGGAACGACTAATAGCCGGAGTTATCCGAGACGGACACGATTTGTCATCGTAAAACGCGGACCATGGACAAGTCCGCGCTTACACACACACGGACCGGATACTTACAATTAACGTATCATAGTATATATACTGTAGTGATATTTAGAATAAAGTCAGTCAAATTAATATATTCAATCCTATCCTAAAGTCTACATACTACAACAGGTTATGAGCCCTGCTACTACCATGGATACGACGCTCCCCGGTTCCACATCACTATATAATATCCCCCAGCTCGCCGACGACGGAACGAACTGGATAACCTACAAGGAAAGGGCCCAAACGGTGATACGAGCACGAGGTTTGATGCGCTATCTTGATAGTAGGACAAAGGAGCCTGTACCTTTCGAGATCGACTCGCAAGGACAAGCACTGAAGCCAAACAAATCAGTAGCTACCCAAACGGAGATTGAAGAACAGGAGAAGAAGGAAGACGAGTTTCAACAGAAGGACTCACTCGTCAAGCAACACATATTTAGTACGGTCTCGGACCGACTATTGTTGCGCATCCAGAACCTCGGGGAAGCCTCGAAAATATGGGCAGAAGTATGCCGAATCCACGAAGGCAAGACGGAGATGGTGCAGATAGATCTGCGACGGAAACTCCAGAACACCAGATGCGAGGAAGGCGGAGACGTGAAGGCGCATTTCGGAGACCTGTTAAGGATCCGAGAATCGTTAGCAGGAATGGGAGTAAGCATAGAAGAGAGAGATTACTATGCCATTATTATGGGATCATTGCCGGAATCCTACAGACCAATTCTATCATCAATAAACGCCGCAGCACGCATAACGAAGCAGCCGCTTACCTCGTATGAGCTGATAAACGTTATCACAGAAGAATACGAACATCAGCAGATAACCAATCCCAAGACACAGAAGAAAGGGAATAATAGTGCGTTTACAGCAAGGACAAACACGCTAAGAGGACGTACCACGACGAGCAAGAGTGAAGATATCACTTGCTTCAATTGTGACAGGAAGGGTCACTATAAAGCCGATTGTTGGAGGAAAGGAGGCGGAAAGGAGGGACAAGGACCAAGGCAGACAAAGAAAGGCCAAAAGGAGACGGCAAACGCTGCAGACAAGATCGAAAGAGCAAATGATTACGCATTTGCAACGTCAGACCTCGCAAATGTTGCAAAGAAGATAGACATACCAGTCAAAAAGCGCGGAGCAATTATTGACTCCGGCGCTACATCCCATTTTTGCCCAGACAGGTCGAAGTTCATAACGTTTGAGCCAATCGAGGCCCAAGACATACACACCGCAGATGGATCTGTTGTCAAAGCCATAGGACGAGGAGATGTTAGCATGGATCTACCTCTGGGAGACAAGAAAACGAGCATCACACTCACAGTACATGATTCTCCACAGCAGAACGGCGTAGCCGAACGACTAAATCGAACACTGGTCGAACACGCACGAGCCATGCTCATCGCCAAAGATCTTCCGAAGTTCTTATGGGCCGAGGCTATTAATTATGCGGCATGGTTAAAGAACCGCTTACCGTCTCGTGCCATTCCTGGGCATACATCTTTCGAATTGATGCACAAAACTAAACCAAGCTTAGCGGCAGCAAGAGAATTCGGAACCAGAGCATATGTGCACTCACCAGATCATGGGAAGCTCGAAGCCAGAGCAGAAGAAGCGTTGTTCATAGGGGTGGACAACGAAAGCAAAGGATATTGAATTTTCTGGCCGATGAAGAGACGGGTGTCTATAGAACGTAATGTTAGCTTCGTCCCGCCAGACGTCATCATTCGTAACGACGTACTGGACGAGGGGGAGTATAACCAGGAAGAACCAATCAACGTACCGAATATCGTCCAGCCTGTCGCAACATCCCAAGTCCCCCAAACACCAATCCAAGCACCCAAAACTCCACCTCAAAGTGCACAACCCCTACCGGTCCTGAAAACACCAAGAGTAACGCGCACCCGTCCACCAGCAGGATACTATCGAAGTCTACATGAAGGAGAAGCAGCATCAGCTGCAATAATAGAACAGAAGGACAAAGAAGATTCGAACACTTACCAAGCATTTGCAGCCGCTCAACATGAGCCAACGCTCAAGGAGGCTCTAAACGGACCAGATGCCGAAGAATGGCAACAAGCGATTGACTACGAAATCAATCAATTAGAGAAGCTACAAACTTGGGAAATAGTGGACGTACCGAAGGGAGCTAACGTTATTCCCTGCCATTTTGTTTTGGCAACGAAACGAGGACCAAGTGGTGAGAAGATAAAGCTATGAGCAAGATTAGTAGTGAACGGTCAAAGACAAGAATATGGAATTGATTACCAAGAAACCTTTGCCCCGACGTCGAATATGACGACGATTCGAACAGTCCTATCAATGGCTGCAAGAAACGATTGGGAGATACACCAAGTGGATATAAAGAGTGCTTACCTTAACACCACGCTGAAGGATGAGGTGTATATGCGGGCACCATCCGGATACTTGAAGAAGGGAGAAGAGGGAAAAGTCTTGAAGCTGCTGAGAAGCTTATACGGCCTGAAGCAAGCCGGGTTTGAGTGGTCCGAGGAGCTAGAAGAATTCTTCCTCGAAGCCGGATACACACGTTCGCAAGTCGATCGAGCGGTGTACTATCGGAGGGAACAGGACGAGCATACCGTCATAACGGTATCGGTTGACGACATGGCTGTGACGTCAAAGCATCTAGAACATATAGAAAAGTTCAAAGATCAGCTGCGACAGAAGTTCGAGATAACAGACCTAGGAGAACTCACCTGGTTGCTTGGGCTCAAGATTGAGCGCAATAGATCAGCACGAACCATCACGCTATCGCAAGAAGCATATGTCGACACCATTGTCGAACACTTCCGCCTCGAAGACGCAAAGCCAGCGCACATTCCCATGGAGACTGGAATACAGCTGACAAAAGAACAGTCAGACCATTCGCCAAGCACCAAATCTCAAATATCCGAACAACACGTACTGTACCAAAGAGCGATTGGATCGCTAATGTACGCGGCAACTTGCACTAGGCCGGACATAGCGCTAGCAGTGTCGGTACTATCGCAGTTCATGCGTGAACCGGCGAAGTCGCACTGGGAAGCAGCAAAACACGTCATCCGCTATCTAAAGGCAACAAAGAAGGCAAAGCTTACCTTGGGAGGAAAAGAGAAAGATCTAGAGGCTTACGCGGACGCAGATTGGGCAAGCCAAGCCCACAGGCACTCTATCTCAGGGTACCTGGTCCAGCTGCACGGATCTCCGATAGCTTGGAGCGCGAGGAAGCAAACGATCATAGCGTTGTCAACAGCCGAAGCCGAATACATCGCACTAACGTCTGCAACGAGGGAAGTGCTATATCTTCAGTCACTACTGAAAGAACTCTATAAAAGAAAAGACGCACCTATCACCATCTACTCTGACAACCAAGGCGCTATCGCCCTCGCCTCAAACAACAAGTTCCACGCTAGAATGAAGCATATCGATATACGCTATCACTTTATCAGGTCAGTTATCGAAAACGGCACGATAAAATTGAAGTACGTACCAACGGATGATAACCTCGTGGATGCTTTCACCAAAGCACTGCCAAAGCCGAGACTCGAAAGATTGAGAGATGGAATGAGAGTAAGCTGTGCTCGAGGGGGAGTGTTAGAGTTAGCACATAATGGAGATGAAGGTACGAGCACATGATAGAAAGGCTTAGTAATACGTACAAGTATGAGTAATGTAGGGAACGACTAATAGCCGGAGTTATCCGAGACGGACACGATTTGTCATCGTAAACGCGGACCATGGACAAGTCCACGCTTACACACACACGGACCGGATACTTACAATTAGCATATCATAGTATATATACTGTAGTGATATTTAGAATAAAGTCAGTCAAATTAATATATTCAATCCTATCCTAAAGTCTACATACTACAACAGAACACACCCCACATACTCATGAATGCATCTCATATGTTCCTTCGAAGCGCTGCTTGGCGTCTCACGTACGCATTGGTGCCTTCTGCTTCAGCAGGGGGCAATCCGACTCTCCGGTCCGCTTGCTCGTCCCACCATTTAGCGTGCCAGGAAAGAAATTCCCTGACACGCCGCATTTCCTCTAATAACAGCTTGACCTCCTCCGTCCAGCGATTTGCGCGTGCGCGTGCTTTGCACCATTCAATTTGTAACGCTGCCGAAGGATCTCAGAACCATCTGAATCACGATGACAGAGAGAACCACGTACCATCTGTAAGAACTTCTCCTGCGGCTGAAACACCGCGCATCTTCCATATCCACGAGAGTGTGCGATTTCCCTCTGATTGGCCTACCTTGCCTTCAGACATACCACGAACATGCTCCACCTCCAGCACCGGAAATAATTCTTGCCAGTCATGTTCTCCAAGCGTCTCATGCAGGCTTTGAAGCGCGTTCCTTGCCCTGCAATACCTGTCCGCAGCTTCTGAAACATGGCGCTCAACCTTTCTGATTACAGTGGCAGCGCGTGTATTGGCCCGTTGGCCACAAATATTTGCGTCCTTGAATTTGTACAAGTGAGTGCGTAAGAGAAGATGGCGGCGTAGGTCATCGAGCGCATCAAATGATTGCCCTTGACGTAGTTCCCATTCAAAACGACAGAGCCGTTCATCGCATATGGCATCTGGGGCGTGCGACTTCAATTCGGAGGGCAGGAACAGGTTGATCTTATGTGCCTTTTCCTCACTCAAGGCCGCTGCGCTGGAATTGTGGGTGGTCCGAACATGGGATGCCGAGGGCATATACAAGAGCTGAATTTGACACCATTGGTCGACTTTGCGTTTCAGAGTGTTTGTCCGATCTTGTATCTTTGAACGCTGGAGATCGGTTGGATGTGCTCCAAGGGCCAAAATGTCCTGTCTGAGCCAGTTTCTGAATCCTGCTAAGCCGTTGTGAACCCAAGAAATAGTTAAAAACTTACTGTTCTTCCTCTATGCCAATGCCTGTTGAAATAAGAACAGTGGGCGATATCTCACTATGAAGGGAATGGTTGACACCACGCTCGAGATCTTCAGCCTCTTTTTGAGAGAGACTCAGCCTGACGGATGCCTGCGTCATAGCTGAGTCAAAATTGTCAGTTAAATATGCAAACTCAAAACATTGGCTTACTTGTTGTGGTTGCGCCAAAGGGATTTGTCACGGACATGTCCATTTCCCACTTTTCAACAGCGATCTTCCATTCTGATACTTCCTCTGGCCTTTCTGCAACGAGCGTATCATTGAACTCGTGAAAATCGCGCTGGTGCTGGTCGCGTTCTGGTATAGCTGTCTTGAGTTTTTGCAAAAGACTGACACCTAATCATTACCATAAGTAAACGGTGCCCATAGCTTGTGTTAGAATAGACGTCACTCACCCAGATTGGTGACTTTCTTCCAATTGAAGTCGCCGAAGTGGTCGTCGATGGTGTCACACCTGGCGCCTGGACCCATCTCACGTGTGCTCGTAGCTATAGGATTGATGTTAGCCCAACCGCGCTCAGGCGCCTCACCATCAGTTCGGCCCATGCCCCTTATGAAATTGTGTGAATAAGTAATTTGACAGGGCAATATGTGTGCGGGAAGATGGAATTTGGGGACCAGAAATGTGATGAATTTGTCGGTGCAATTGATGTGAATACGACTCGGGTACTTGACCATTCGTTCTTGGAGATGTTTACTCCACTGGCAAGCAATGTCGTACGAAACGTTGAGAACGATGAGGTCCTTCGCGAACTGCATGGTGGAAAAAAATAGAAAATCCATATTTACATATCTGCGAACGTGTAAGACTCAGACAAAATGGAGCAGCTCAGCCTTTGTTACGTACTTTTCCCCCTTCTGAAGGTCTCCAACAGCACAAGGTCGTTTGAAGTTATGACGCGAGCAATCCACGGTCCCAGCACCCGTCGCTGCAAGACCACGGGAGTTCTTCGTCTCTGCGAGGTTGACAGCGTTATGACTAACACATGTACTTTTCTACTAGAGATTAGTGTCTATGGAAAGTACAAAGAAACTATAGTACATACCTCTTGTGGCTGCTTGCCGGCTTCATGGAGGAATCTCTTGTATTCCTGTTCCTCAACGAAGTACGACCATCCATTGCTCAGACCAGGATCGACTATATCGGAGGAAACATTCTTCCTCGCCAACCGAAAGTTTGCATCAATCGCGACAAATATTCCATAAAGCCACCTATTGGAACAGAACTAAGTAAGGTAACACACAAGATGAAGTGAATTTAATGAACCGTTTGTCAGTACTTGCATCCTCCCAGCCCTGCGGTAAGTTCTTACCTGGCTGGGGACAGGCAGGACAAAGGACTGCACAGGAACCAGGTTGGGTGGCAGAGATGCCTCCGGGATCATGCCCGCGGCCAAATCGTTTGAGCAGGGTCAAATTCCGCCATTCTTTGATCATGCGAAGTAACGATACGTAGCGATCCTGAATGCATGTGAGATTTGGAGCCTCGGTCAAGATCAATTTACACTTACCTTAGGAGGATTGATGCCAGAGTTGTCAGATAGTCGTGACAGTGTCTGCCAATATTCAAAGGCCGATGTCTTCGATTCAAATGAGAGAATGTGGAAGTGGTGAAGGAGCCGAAAAGTCGCGGCCGTTTTAGGATTAACGGATGTCGCTGGAAACCACCGGATGCGGAGGAGTTGAGTGGTTAGTGATTGAGCTGTCTTGCATTTACAGAAGTTTACTGCAACCAAATGTACACCATGGACGTCGAGAACAATGAAGTTGTTGTGTGTTGGTGCCGGGTTGCAACAACGCTCTCCAACTCGATGGCCTAGCTGTATTTTGAGACCGAGGGCTTTGAGGCTAGTGTTCTCAAAGTGCCCATCAACCCAATGCTATAGTAGGATCCATTGAGCGACAAATTAAGGCCTTAGAATGCATGAATTAGAGAACTGACCTGAAGTCTATGTAATGGGCTTTCTTGATGTCTCGCCAGCATACATCCTTTGCAATACAATGCTGTGCCAAAGCAATCTTGACATTGGTATTCCGGATATTCCTGGCATCCGTCATGGCCCTCACAGACTTGATGAAAAATGTGGTCACCACATCCATCCATCCGGAGAAGCTCTAGAAGAAAGCTTTTGCGTTGTGAAAGCCAAAGTGCGAGAGGATTCTCCTGAAAAAAAAGGTGTCAGTACAGTAACCAAGGCCTTATATGCGACACTTACACCAGCCGTTGGTGGTCGCGGTTTGGGTTCACAAGATGTATCGGCTATGTGATCATCATAAGCGGAATACGCAACATCTAAGTTGTCATCGAAGCTGAATTCAGGTTCTTGTATTTGCGAAGGGACCTGCGGGCTGATAGGGAGACTGGTATGTATTTGTGAGCATGCATAGTCAGTTTGCATTGCAACACGACCAGGCCCTGTGATTGTGTGCGATTGTACTTTGTGGTAAAGAAGTTGGGTACCGTCTGTGTCCTCGACCAGTCGTAATTGTGAAGCTCGTTGGCGGGCAGCGTCCTGTGCAGCGTGGTTCGTTCGGTTGAGGTCATACCATGCTTGAGTAAGTTTTTCATGTTCTCGTTTGCGCTTGCTCTTATGGCCCATAGTGGTGAGTGACTAGTAGTATAGTATCAGTAGCAGTTCATGAGCGTGGGTTTTGGTCCAACCAAATCATGGGTTTTGGTCCGACTGACCACTGGTTCTACTGGCAGGAGCTTTAGTTACGTCTTGTTTCCCTACTTCTTTTGAACCAAGACCACATACCACTGCCAACCAAAGTCCTTTCCAGCAAACACATCATGGCCCGTCCAATCATTCATACTACTCCCGAGGCAAAATTAGCCGCTGCCCGTGAAAAGCGCCAACGCTATTATGCTAAGTATGTCACACCTGATATGAATTATTTCCGAGTGTTCCTGACTCACAGGCTTGTCCCAAAAGACACAAAGACCTAATTCTCCAGAGACGGAGACAACTTCGTCCCCCCAAGCGTGACATGAAGGAATCACGGAAGATGTTGAAAGCTATTTCCAAAGCTTTACATGGCTCTGACAGCGATGAGGACTCCAAGTCTGAATCTTCGGATGATGAGAGTTCCGAGTCCTCTGACGCAGACAACCTGTATGTTCCTTTTAATTTTATATAAATAGAAACATATGATATTCATATTCAACAGATCCGATCTCACGCAGTGTTTGTTCGCTCTCAAGATTATCAAGGACGAGATGTTGACATTGACAGATGATCCTTGCGCCTTTGTCCAAAGTGTCTTCTCAGAGTATGTCAAGACTCTGGATGGCAGCGTTAAAGGTGATGTCACCATCCTCGAAAAACCAATGGCCACGGTTGAAGGTTTACTCAAGCGCGTAATTCCCATCCACGATCAGATTCTTAATTTCTGTGGGATCTCACCTGAGTGGCGAGCCGTTGACTCGGTGTCCCGCTTCTTGAGGACTATTCTTGCATACCTAGAGGATATCCTAGGTCTTGTGACATTTGACGGAGCTGGAGAGCTTGCAGTGGCTCACTCGATGGGTGAATTTATGTATCAGAAGGGCATCAGACTTTGATTAAGTTCTACACCAGCAGTCCTCATGTACATAAATTAAATATGTTTTTTTGACATCCGCAATACTGATTGAAACACAGTACAAGTAAAAACCTCGAGAGTGAAAGATCAGAACTCTGGGACAGCTGTTAATGCGACCTAGCTCATCTCCCCAGATTCAGGGCGCCACGTGGATTTGGTGGGATAATGAGTTCAGGCTCCGATGTGAGTACTGCAAAACCTTATTCCCGTTATTTCCGTCAAAAAGCCACCTTACGATAAAAAAAACACACATATCGCGTCAGTAAGTATGTTATTTCCATTGTATAAACACGTCACTGATCAAAATATGCCGGCGGCTATTAGATGGCAGGAACAGAATGGGCTTCTGCTGAGCAAAAGTCATATTTGCAAAGCTTGTACAACGATTTCCTCAAAGCGCAGGCTCAAGGGAGTGTGTCAGCCTTCTGGCCGGGGGTTTATCTCACATGGTTTGAAAAATGGCCCGAAATTAATTTAATGTTCCCAGACACATCAATGCATGGGGTTTTAACTGAGGAACAGACTAATCTATTGGGCGCAGCCATTGACAAGAGACATCAGGCGAGTACTATGGAGCATGTATAATGGTATCATATGTTCAACAACATATATAGCAAATCAGAACCTGGTTCAATTATAGATCACAACGCAGCGGACGTGCCTCGGTCAATAAAATGACGAAATCCATTCATAAGATGATGGGAAACAAGGCAAAGGGGACCCGAATTCACAGCACTGCTGAAATTTATTCCAAAACAGGTCTCGCAACCGATGTCCGAGATAAGTTGGAAGAGGCTATTGCATCAGGCTCTGTTGTTACAAAGGCCGAGAGATTTGTCGCCATGAAAAAGCTTACAAAAGAGGCATACGAGGCAGCACATCCTGAGGTGCAAGCGCTATGCTTGGCAAAAGTGCAGGAGGAACGTGAGACAAAGGCTAGTCAACTACTCAAGCCCAAAACACAAGAAAGGACAAATTTGGAGTGAGCTAAGTCCGTTGCCCTTATCTACCTAAGAGAACTATCGGCTCACAGTTACCAAATAGGGCTCTTGAAGAATGTACTGGTCCCATCGCACACTTCTTGCAAGCTATCCATGAGATGACTGGCTTCCATTGGACTGTTCTCGGCGCTGGACCTGACCCTCGATATAATGGTGACATCAATATGATGAGGTGAATAAAATTTTGTTTTGTGTATACTGCCTGCTGATATTTTCAAGTTACCATACAGGAGTCAATGAGTACGGGCAAAACTGGAAGCAGGCCACTCCCGATTTCGATGATAAGCACATCAAGCCATATGTTGCCTTCATTTCGAGTCTTTTTCGTAAGTTGCCCCTTCTCCTTCCCTTTTAACGAATTTTGGACTCACCAAACCAAGCGGAACACGTCAGGAAGACGTGAGCAATTGATTATGTCCCCCCACCCCCCTCATCGACTCTTGAAGCCGACCCAGTGGCTGGGGAGTCACAGTCTTCCAATGCCAGCCAAGACCTTCTGTCAACCTCAGTGTTGATGTCTTCACCCCCCCACCTGCTTCCTATAGCTCATACACCTATCGCTGTCGCCGAAAACACGCACCAGCCTCCTCCTGACACTTGGTATTCTATTCAGCATCCAGATGATCTGATTTCTTTTGACACAGGATATGATTTCGTCGCCGACTCACCATCCTCACCATCATTTTCGCCCATCTCCACATGGAAGAGAGACATGCTTCCTACCTCTCCTCCACACTTTCGTCTGCAGGTCTTGGCTGCAAACTTTGCATCTTCAACTTCCCCTTCTGACATCATTGGAGGGTCTTCTCCAACACCTTTCATCACTCCGCCTATGTTTACCTTCCCTCCACTCCCAGCCCCACCACTGGCACCCTGGTCCTTCGACGCCAGCTCCGCCTATGTTTACCTTCCCTCCACTTTCAGCCCCACCACTGGCACCCAAGTCCTTCGACACCAGCTCCTGTTTCATTTCCTCCACTCCCAGCCCCACCACTGGCACCCGGTCCTTCAACTGCCAGCTGTTTCATCTGTAACAGTGTCCGGGAATCTCTCAAGTGCCAATGGGTCTAGGATAGATACCTTGGTGGGCGTGGAAGCGCTGGCTGCTGTTGTAGTACTAGAAGCTGTCCGAGTTGATTCGGACAGGAACGTTACCACCTCCTCCGAACCCATAAGTGAAGGCAACGAACTTCGCTCAGCATGCGCCGAGAATCTTCCTGCCAGTGGCAAGCGCATTCAAAAGGTTCTCGCAGACCCAGAAATACCCACCAAGTCGACTAGCAGCACCCTGCCTGTCAGGAAAACTGGACGTCTTCGAACAGAGACGACTCGATTGGTGCAGGCCAACAACATCGGCCAAAATCCCAAGCGTCCAAGACCCGCTGAGTCCCAGAGCGAGCATCGTAAGAAAAGTAAGTGTTTTGTTTTTTTCGCCTTCACCTCGACTCATGTACCCCATAGGAAAGTAACATAGTTGCATTGTCGATGGTGTTTTCTTGCAAAACAAATGTATTTACGTTGTTCTTTCTTGCTCGCATGTAGTAGATGTTTTTGTGACCTTCGAAATATATGTTTTTGTCGTCGTTCAAGTTGTTCATCACATAAGAAATCTTAGATTAGTACACATCAACACATAATAGACATGAGACATGTACTCCAACTGTAATGAATGCCGAAAGACTACACTACAGTCTATTACTTGTGGGACTTGGTAGAAATCGCGCCTGACTAAAGGACTTGGTGAAAATTCCTTCATAAGATCCGGATAAAGATCTAGCAAGGCTCGATTCAGCAAGAAGCTGGGAGGGATGTCAGGAACAGGTATGCAGGAGTAGATTCACGATCGGGATAGCCAAATTGAGGTGCGGATAGCCAGCAGGAAGTGCTCGACACCGTTATGCATCACAGGCACCGTTATGCATAAAAGCAACGGCAGTCGAGGATTAGCGTGAGCCATGCATAACGATGGAGTCGCTTACCAGCGTAATTTATGCATAATAATGACAGTATCGCCTGTCTGTCGAGAGCTTACCTGTCCATCTCCCGGGCAAGAATACTCCTCAATCAATTTCATCGTGCAGGTGCTCGATCGACAGGTTCCTTACTAGACCACTACTTCCTAAGGGGGTATCGAATGCAGGTCCAGTGATGAAAAAGTCCCATGGTGAAATAAATAGAATTTACAGAAAGGCTTTGGCAGTTCCTTGAATGAGTCGGGTATCACTCTGAGCACCCTTTCTCTTGCTCCAAATACGCCCCTCGGGATCATCTTCATCTACCATCAAGGGCATGAGATTGCCCATTTCGAGGTAGCATCGATAACGGTCCCAAGCATACTCAAGTTCCTTGTCTGGGGGGTATTGATCTTCTGCAGCATTGATACTGTCGCGGATGCGGCGCAGTACAGAAAGCACTCGTTTGTGTGTTGTTGGTGGGGCTGTCCCACGGCGCACAAAGCCGTCGGGGAACTTTGTCTCAGGACCCGAGAAGAGACTGCGCAACTTGATCATCCCATCTCGTACGATTTCATGCCGTGCAAAGTAGGGTGTCATAAGGTTAGTGAAGTCGGTGTCGGACACAGAATTCCTCTGTTGGATGATGTCTAACGGTGAAAGTGAATGCACTCTGGGATGAACCCACAATAAGTACTGGGGGGCAAGAGGTTGGTTGGCATGGGTGGAAACAGAACGGTCGACATCCAAGACCTTCCCATAAGTCTTGATCTCAGCTGAGTGATTGATAAACAAAGGTGTAATGTTTTTGTGCGCAGTAAAACGCTCGATTTCTCCATCCCAGTCACGACACATGTTAAAGGGACCTGCGCAATTGCAGGTAATGAGGTATGCTAACCAAAAATAAGATTCGAGATCGTGATAGAACTCGACTTTTGTGTTTAACATCGAGGCATCGGACTCGAAGGGAAGTGTCCCCTTTGCATCATATCAGTATTGGATATCGGATCGAAAATAAGGAAGTGACTTATGGTACGTGGCAAGGACGCCTCCCCCCCAGGTTCCAAACAGTCTGTGGCAAACCCCCAATCAGATGCCACCCCGTTTCTCATAGGAGTCCACTCTTTTTTTGCCCCATCAGGACGCGGAGGGACAGCGGATTCAGCAGATATCATTTCTACGAGGAATATTGTATTACCATCGCTAACATTGCGATGCAAAACCTTGCGGCGTTTATAAGTGTTACGATGACCTCAAATAAACGTCAGATATAGAAGTATATGGGCAGACATTCAATCTCACCGACTACGGCACCTATGATGCCATGGAAAATTTCGCATGCAGTTCCGAACCACAAGATGTCGACACCACAGGTAGTAAAAGACGTGCGGGATCGATATCTTTCCTCAAGTCGAAATTTTCCTTGGAATTCGTCGAGAACCGTGGCCAGGGCCTGCGATGATAGCATAGAAGCACATATGGAAGCAACTGACTGGGGAACTGGAAATTCGGAGAACAGGCCGAGGGAAGGATACATATGGTCTTTCATGATGGTTATTCCTGGGAGGAACTTGGTATCGTCCCAACAGCGACTGCCAACGTGACAATACATTCCATCCAGCCTCTGAGCGCACTCTATATCTGAACGATCACCAGGATCTTCCTCGCTGGTGAAAACCCACTCGCCATTGGGTGAGAGAACAAGAAGAGAGTCCCATGCAGGATCTTGAAGTTTCTTGTGTATTACGTGGTCGCTCACCGTCTTGGATGGATCCCAACAGTCTTTTATTACAAGATTTTTTTTATCCTGTGCGCCCTCGACGGCAAAAACACGCGTGCCTTGTCCATGCAAACCTAATTTCTCGTCAAGAGAGTACAACATTCGGTATGCAAATAAGACATGCCTATTGATCGGTGAAGGTAGCCAACTAGCTGGAACTCCGAGTCATCGCACGCCGCTCCATTCTCGTCTTCGTCCTGCCAATACCTCTGATCATCCCAAACCTGAATCGTGGCGGGAAGGACGCGGAATATATGGACATCGTATCCCAGCCATGAAAGGTCCGTTTCCGTAAAGTAGTTCATCACCTTCGAAAACAATTTCGGGTTTGAACTTATGTCGAGTGCTTCGGAATAAAGGCTTCCGCCGTGCGTGAACACAGATAGGCGAAGGGCCGTTCCACATAGACTGAGACAAGGGAACCATTGGCGATGAGGCTGGTGGTGGAAGACAAAAGTAGCCTTATCGGCGAGCTGAGCAATGGCACTCATCAAGAGCATGGGGCTGTCTTCCCACTTCACCTCGACGACGGAAATGACCTGGGCCCACTTGGTTTCCTCCGAATCACGGGAAACCAAGATTATATCGGGACTGCGAGTGTCTTCCAGCTGAGTCCTGTTGAACACCTTCCATACACGCAATCCAATATCCTCAGGAATGGTGGCACCCCTCTTGGAACAGTTTTTGTGCCTGCGGCTTTGAATTGTGATCTAAGAATCAACATCAAGATTTTGATAAGTAGAAGCACCAGTATCGCATACATACCTCGTTGAAGAAGTTGGTAAGAAGACTCTCAAAAGTCTGATCAAGTGGGGTGCCAGCCTCCTGCAACCAATTTTTACGCTGTAATGGTAGGGGAGCTTTCGAAGCTGCTGTCCATTCATAGGATCCTTTGGTCTCCGTGAGTATGCCGTTTGGTCTGGTCCAGCGTTCAATCATCGTATTGCGTTGTGTAGGGGAAAGAAACTCGTCAGCGCTATTAATAAGATGATTGTCAGACCAGGGAAGGTCGCAGACCAAGAGAGAGCCGATCTCTGCCTTCATGGCTGTATCAGGAACAAACGCTTGGTTGTCCTTGTGTAATGTCATCACACCCGCTACTATGTAGGTGTGGCTGTGACATCCTGCACTTGATGAGTAAGTCGAAGTTATTGATCCTAAGACCACCACTGACACAACTGCTCTATAACCTTGAGTTTGCCAGGCTATGAAGATGATGACGCATTGACAATAATTTGATGGTTGACGAGAGTGGGCATATAACGAATCATCAGAGTGATTTTGAAGAGGATTTTTATGATGGGAGATAGTTCTGCAGAGTCAGATTCGCCACTCTCGCCTCTATCACCACCCTGGAGGCCTCAGTCTACCCAGCCTACAACAAGACACTCTGACCCATTCTATGGTCACTTGCAGGTTTCCCAGTTATGCGTACGCTTCATTATGCATCTTTTTGCTTGTCTAGAGTACTAATACATAACCTTTTTCATCTTCTAACTCGCAGGTTTCCCGGTTATGCGTACGTTTCATTCATTACACATCTTTTTGCTTGTCGTCTCATCCTCTTCCAGCAACCAAAAGTGCGCTTTCCCACTGTTAATTAAATACTCATGCTTTTTTTTACAAAGATGGCGGCATCGCTTCAAGTTGATAATGATGCTATCATTTGCTGCGGACGGAAATGTAATGGGCATGTATCTCTACCTCAAGCCGAGGCTGCTATGGTGCATATCACCAATGCGGCCGCGTCGAGATTTTCGTATTAGAAATAAAAGGAGTGTGGTGGTCCGGTTTAAGACCGACTGCAAAAACGACCGTGATTAATCGATACAACACGATTTAGATAGGCCCTTCCCCACAAAGGTGGGAGTCGAGGACGAATTAGCTTCTTTGTGCTCTAGCACCAGTCTTTCTCCTGCTTTCGCTCCCTGTTGTGTAAAGTCACTTCGTCGTCGTCACTTCTCTTCATAGCATGGTGACGAGACTCGGAGAGATCCTGTAGTACGATCGTGGTACTTTCAACAGCTACAGCCACGCGTGTCCTACGTTGTCCGCCAAAAGTTACGATGGGTGTCGGAGAGGATGGTGAATTATCGTCTGAACTTAAACGGAAGATGAACGCGACGACGACGCTCAAGTTCACGACGATGAGAGACATGGAACACTAAATTGTGGTCAGCAGCGCTCGAGGTCTAAACATTGATGGCACCGAACCTCAACTATACCAGCCATAACCTCCCTGAGCCCTCCACCAGAGAGGATGTAATACGCATGGGTGAGACTGACGATTGTAGTGACTGCTGACGTAGAGAAGACAGCTAGTATCCGGACTTTTTGCGACCTTGACAATCTGACTTTGTAAATGAGGGAAAATGGAGCGATGATGAGAACAACATCCGCTAGAACGTCGGCTGAGATACATCAGATGACCGGTATATTTTATGAACAATGAATCCCCACTGGTCATCTGCGTTATTGCAATACGTCTGCCGAGATCGCACTGCGGAAGTGTCTGTGTTTTCCAGCCAGTCTCAGTTTCACAAATCCACCACAGTTGTGAAAAAAGTAGTGCCCATATAATGCCGAAGAAAGCGACAGTGCACAGGAGAAATCTTCTAAATCTTCCTGGGATTGTGAGTCGCACAATAGTAAACAACATGGATAACTTCGATGACCTGTGCGTGCATGTCAGTCTCGTCACGTTGCCAGGCCACTAGAACCTCAGTGCTAGTGTCTTACCATACAACTCCGTAAAAGGATTGGGCAACTCTGATGGATGTGGCATTGGTAACGTCTCTCAAGTATGAGTAAAGAAAAAAACGCACATGTAGTATAATGCTATCCTTGTGCTTTGGGGGTATTTTTCTGGGTCTCTTCAGTAAAATGTATGCAACATGCACACTGCGGAGACGCTCACTATAGTCTTGCAGATACAAGCAATCAGCGAGTAATAATGTAAAGTCGAATATCATGGCGATGGCTGCCCATGCATCGTCAATCCCCAGACGTTTCTGCCGCGTACGAACACATAAACGAAAGGCTGTGATAAGGACAGCAACGGTTGTGAGACTAATGTCTGCGACTAAAAAAAATGGTATCAAGTACACCGATGCAGCAAGTCAAGTAGCCAGACTCACCTTCCGTCTGATAAAGGGTAGGGGCTGAGGGCGACATAATACGCCTGAGGAAGCAATCAGATTGGCGAACGGCCCCATATATACGCGGCCACACGTGAAAAAAGGGCTGCTCGATTCAAAAAAATTAGAATTACAGTGACGCGTCCCGAGTCATTCCGTGACGTGGTTAAACAGTAGTTCCTACATGTTTAAGTTCCTGGGCCCCTGCATTATGGCGCGTAAATTACATTGGGTAATTCAAATTGTATTTGGTCCAACGAAACCACGCAACTTCTTGCAGAGTCGGGGAGGTAGTTGGTACGCCCAACAATAAGACAATTCGAGGACGAAAGATCTAGAGGGGGAACCACGTCGAGGAAAGAGGTAAAACGGCTGAACTCGGATAGTTGAAAACATGTGTGTCGATAGACCTAAGGTAGTGAAACTGAATTATGTATATAATCCAACGAATCTGCGAAGAAGCAAGTTGTCATGATCCAATCAAATGACGCCAAAAGCCTATCAGACGCAATAAATATGACCCACCCTAATAAAGGACCGATCGGTTTTCTGATGCGGCAAGGTGTCCGCGTCGTGCTCTCTGGTACCAGGCGACAACACACCAGTGATGCAGATGGTGTTTGTAATTGAGAAGATTTGGGTGCGCCTGGGGGGAGCACGGACGTCGGCAGTGGATACATGGTGTCGAGAGTGTTCCAGAGATCTGGCCGCATCTGCGAGAACCCATGTTTACATAAATCGGCGGAAATTTAATGAATTTAACGGGTAATTAGGATAAATATAGTTCTACGGCCTCATGCTTTTGCGCGAAGTTTGGTTGAACTTAAGCTTAAGTCTCGGAGAAATACCAGGGAAACCGGCCTGGACTTGGTGGCCCGGGTAGCATTACAACGAGCCTTCGAGAGGGCGACTCGAGTCTTCACACTATCCTTCCGGAGTCCAACAAGTCCATAGTATGGCGAGTGTCGGACTTTTTGAAGTTTGACGGCATCCACCTATGTAGCCATGTACGACAGAATCCGCTGGTTGGGGCAACTGATATTCGCGATGAAGGCGGCCCGGTACGTTCCGTAGCGAAGGGAAGACAGGGCGACGTCAGCGAAGCGCCCATAACCGCATCACTCAAAGCCAGATGAGTTGTAATATAAAATAATTGATGATCGTGTCACTCCAGATGAACACGTAGCTGTGATTCTATAATCAAAGGAAACTAAAATGAAACGCGCACGATTGAAAGTATAAGTATACGAGGGTATGTTGATCATTCTGATACATAGTAGATACAAAGTCTCAAACACATTAACTTCCGATCGTAAATTACTTTGTATCTCAGCGGCCATAGAGATGTATAAGGAAAAGAAAGAGGAGGAGGAGAGGGGAAATAGTCAAGGATACAAGGGCATATATGATGATAGATGTGCGATGAGTTGAGATGCGGAGAGAGATCCAGGAATACAGTGATGAAGGGAAAAAGAGTTCGTTCGTTCGTTCGTGGACAGCCACCAGTGCCAAGTCCAAGGAATTAATCAATCCTAGTATTAACGCGCCCCGGCACCAAGGTTCATAGCACCCAAAATGACCTCCCACGCCAAATCAAGACAATGCCAGAGTTCGGGATCATGCACGCCCAATGCAACCGCGTTTCTCCATACAGCAGCGATGTTCTGGGCGACGCTGGTGAGTGCGCCCATGCCGGGAGCCGAGGACATGAGGTGCGCGGATAGGGTATGGAGGGCAGGTCCGGAGGATAGTGTGGCGCGGAGTGCTTGTGAGGATGTTAGGGTGGATAGAAAAGAGGCCGGGATGGCTGGGAGGAGTGCGGAGAGGAGTTGGGGTGCGGAATGGGTGTAGAGGAATGTGTGCAGGGGTGGGAATGCCGCCGGGGCAGGTACGGTGAGAGGCAGTACTGGCAGTGTGAGGCTGGCTGTGGCGCCGTAAGATGGGGGTGATGGGGGCAGGCGGGGCAGTGAAGCACAGTTTGATGCGAGGATGAGGGCGTGAGTCGCTACGAGAGTGAGTTGTGAATCGGAGGAGGTGGATGATCTAGAGAGAGCAAGTATGTGTGTAGGGTATGAAGAGGAAGGGCCGGATGGCCGAATTGGGATTGTTAGAGTTTGTGTGTGGTGAAGCTGGGAGCGATGCATGGTCGAAGGCAATTGAATGGCTGCGATACCAGCAAACATCCTGAGTGATAATAAATTAGATTGAGTTTTGAGTTGGAGTATGTATGGGTACTGACTGGTTTGCCTGGTTCTTGAGACCACGTCGTACGTAGTCGACTGGGACATGAGAGAGCTCAGGATCGATAGCAGCAATGTTTTGAGTTGGGACCTCAAGGTATTGTGGACGTTGCAACTTGCGAGGAAGCTGAACGTTTGAAGGATAAGATTGCTGCGAAGCCATTGTGGGAGTTGCTGATTCCTCGTAATCCCAGATGGCTTTTGTTTGGATTGGGTGTGCAGGACGGACTTGGTACATTGTGATAAAAGGATAGAGTGGTAGTAGTTAAAGATGAAATTCGTGAACTGCTTTATACCGATATAGTCTTCCACCTGGACCGTTTTCAGAACAAGGATGATATGTTCTTCAAAGTGAGCTTGTTCACTCTCTTTCACGCTTTTTTGGACATTCGTTTGTAGATACTTTTAGTAATTCCCAGCGTCTCATTGAACCTTGCTCGACCTCCGCGATATCTTTGAATTCAAGCCAGCGCGCCATCACTACTAGACAAGGACGTAAGTACACCTTCACCTCTTTTTGGTCACCCCCGAGAATTCATTCAGACCGCATCAAGAATTTCGCTCAAATGTGGCATACCTTGTTGAGAGGTAAATTTACGTCAACTACCGAACTTGCGCTGACCATGCTTCCAATGGTGGATCACAACGTTTTGAGTCCACTAACCTTTTGTGGTACTTGTAGACGACCTTGTTTGCGTGGTCAAGGCAAATTTACGTCGATGTACGTGTTCTACATAGAACCGAATAAGGTGGATTAAGTTAACTCTGAAACGACATACACGCCTCCGCCGCAAGATGACGTTTTGAAACCAATCCCGTAGTACTTGGCGAGAGGAAGCACTGCGAGGTGGAACACTGTAAGACGTAAACTGTGGAAAAATATACACGATTGTGGGTTGTGGACTCTCCGTGCTAAGCGGGTGGATAAGAAATCTCGTTATTAATTGATGGCATTGTTCTGCATGTAACCTGGAATTGGCAAGTCAGCATCGAACTAGTTCCACTTGGGACGCTCGTCTTCTCATGCCTCGACACCCACCACCAGTCAGAGAACGTTCATCTCCCGCTAAGAAACCTTGTCTTTCGCCAACTCATCACAAGCGGTCCACGCCTGATGCCCGCCCGAAATCTCCAATTAGTCCCGCTAGCCCTACCCATGCTACCTCAGGGTTCCGTGCTCAACTCGCACATCTCTTGCCTCGCCATGCTATATTTCTCTTACGCCTTACAATCCATCAGCTCAGCAGCGTCCCCTTCGTCAATGGAGAATTCGAAGTACGCTGGAAGCTTAAGGGGGTCACCTCTGGCGGTGGTCTATTGGGCAAGGTGAAGAGTAATCGCAAGGGCAAGGTAAACGGAATCTCTGCTTCAGCTAAAGGGAAAGAGAAGGAAAAGCTTCACGAAAGCGAAATTGACCCACCTACCCCCGACGCCGATGTCCAAAGCATCGCCAACTCAACCTCATCCCATTCACACGAACTATCCATCCCCTCGGTCATAGTATCCTCAAACACACCCACATCCCTTGGTCCAACCTCAGATACGCGCACCACGACTAGTTCATCATCTCGTCCTCAACACGTACCCCCACAATACCTTTCCGCTGACTGGTTACCACAATCTACCCCACCAGACCCGTCCCCTTCTCTTGCTAAATCACCTCCGAATGCGTATTCTCCCGCCAAAGGCCACACCATGTTCGAACAGTTACAGGAACACAGCGTGGTGTGGGAGCAGACCCTTGATGTTATAGTGCAGATGGGTATTACCAGGGAAACTAACGAGCTCGGAGGTTGTGAGGCAAAATTTGTCGTCATGCAGGTATGTATTTACGTACTAGCTCTGTCTTGTCATCTTTGCTGATTGTATTCCCCAGCGAGTTATTCCAGGCGATCCGGATGCACCCCGAAATCCTAGGCTTGGTGCTGTCAGCTTAAATCTCGCTCAATACGTAGACGCTGGAGTCGTCACTCGCCGTTATTTGCTTAGGCAGAGCAAGACTAATGCTACCCTCAAGGTATTTCTACCATCAGTCTCTGTTTTTTTGGACATATTTCTCATTTCCTCATAGCTCACCGTTCAACTAGAACACATTGGCGGCGAATCATCCTACATCGCCCCACCTCTCCCTAAAGGAGAGATTTTAAGCGGGGTAGCCGGTCTACTCGACAACGACATCTTCCGAACACGACCACGCACTCTCGACCTCTACGCAAACGAAAACTCATCCTCCTCCTCTGTATCTACCATCTCGACCCACTCTTCCGGAAAACCCGGGCCCAAACGGAAAAAGAACCCGTTGGACGCGAGCCAACTCCCCAACACTCGTGGTATCCGCGGGACAGAGAAGCTCATCGAAGCGCTGTTTAATCCTGTACCTGTCACATCTCCAGGACAACTCACCCCCTTCACATATCTCCACGAGCCTTCTGCACAGTTGCATGACCACTTTCGAGAACCCATCACAGAAGATGGGTACGTCCAAGTTTACGGGGAGGGCGAGGATGAAACAAGACTCGCAGACGAATCTCTATATTCGAATTCCGTGGACCTGAACCACCCTATTCCAGCGCGCTTGGACTCGGAGAGCGATTATCAGAGTGTGCAATCGAAGTGGACTGGCTCGTTACGTGCGCCATCTGTGAAGAGTATGGCTGCGAGTCGGTCAGGGGTCAATCGTGATGATGGAGTGGGAGTGAGCACTGCTGTGTCGAATATGACTATTATGGAGAAGCGCACGTGGTGGCGGAAGGTGTTCCGTGCGGGGGCTGCATCATGATCGTAAAGGTCTTTCTTTTTCCTACGTTTACGTCTCCGGGTTTTCCTTGCTTTTCTTGTTATTTGTTATACAGGTTTTCGATTTCGTTATTGCACGACTGCACTGCTCTGGGACTATTCAGATAATAATCTGGTTATCGTTTATATCTATAGCCACATCACGCTCCTACTTTATCGTTCTATTCGTTCATCTTTCACTACATAAATTGCACGGTATGGTATATAACCATGCCTTAGTAGATTATCCATGCGATAGGGTGCTGGCTGCCTGAAATGAAATGTTATATGCGCGAGTTTAAGTTGGATCGTTGAAATTCGAGGCATTATCTAAGATTATATACTACAGACAGCTACGCACGTCGCATCTGCAATATTGACAACAGAACTATCGGCTCAGAGATCTTCCAAGAAGCACTGAACGACTCTCACTCACCGGCTATGACGCATTAAGCTGCGTACTCGACCCCACCGACCCAAATATCCCCCCAGTAATATTCTGCCTCACCTCCCTCGTTTTCCGCGCATGTGCAGCTTGTGCTCTGCGTTTCTGTTTTGCTTCTTTCATCTCTTTCTCAAGCTGGATCTTCGCTTGTGTTTGTACCAAAGCCTCGTCTTCGGCGCGTTTAACGTCTAACCGTTCGCGTACCAAGATCCTGAGACGCATCCCTTCCATACCCAACAAATCGGGTTTAGTCCGTAGGAGATAATTATCAACTCCACCATGCTACTCCCAAAAAGCGAAAATGAGAACCCACAAAACATAAAAACACAAGCCACAAAACGCACCTTATTAATACTCTTAAGCGCACGCGTCGTAAGCTTTACTTTCAGATCCCGCCCTAGCGCATCCGACATCAGCCGTTTGGTGTGAACGTTGGGAAGCCATGTGCGTCGGGTTTTGTGTTTTGAATGCGGGACGTTGTTTCCGTATTGTTTGGTTTTGCCGTGGAAGAGACCGAGTTGGGAGCGGCGGAAGGGAGTGGAGAGTTTGGAGAGGGCTGAGGAGAGGATTTGGGGGGTGGGGAACATGGTTGGTGGTGTTAGTAGAAAGTCTTTGTACTTTGTACCTTTTGGCTGGAAGCAGTCACGTGAGTAATGCGTTAGTAACGACGCATACATTTTGCTTGGTCTTGATTCCACCATGTCCACTGCAGACGCAAGAGATTCGACTCGAGAAACCAAGCTGACTCTGCCAAAAACATGGCATGCAGAGTCTGCTGGTGAGTAGTGCACATTCGCTCGCTTCCACAGAACTCATTGTGACTGGCTCGACAGACACTATGGGCTCGATGGGCATGTTCCTCGCTGGCTTAGTGCTAGTTTCTAGAAATCGGTACGCCATATTTCCATGCTGCTCTTATCCTCAACTCATCCCATCACAGGTACCTAGCATGGCCAGTAGCCCTCCTCGCGCTCAGCAGCTTCATGAACCAGCACCCTATTCGGACAAAGGAGGGTGGGAGCACGCCTTGGACGGCTTTGATGTGAGTTCGTCTTGTGCGCCGTGCAGTTCGTAGATTTAACTTGAATATACGTTACTTTTATTTAGGACTGCGACCTTTGCGCTGCTCGTGTCGCACTCTGCGATGTTCACGTTCACGGACCCTAAGACTGGCGCGCTCAAGTTTTCGTCGTAGACTTGAAGTCGTGATTATTGTGCTATATATTATTGGGTTCGACCGTGATTGCGTGATTATTTTTCGTCGTGGACTGCTTGTTTTTCTGTTTCAGTCATGCCTTAAACTTTTGTGCAGCTGGTGCACATGCCACATCAGGGAACCCGAGACGGAGTTGAGGATTGGATCAGGCTTCGCCGCCGCTTCAGCCACTAGAACTCCTTTGTTGACATGTTAGACCCCGAGTCTGACTCACTGCTAACATCCGTTGAATACAGGAAGGGTAGGACCCGCAGTCAACTTCATCGTCATGCCTGTGCAGGAATGGTCAAGACATGGTTTGTGCTAGATACCTAGTGAGTACTGAATACTCATGTACAAAATGATCTAGTATACCAGGCTTAGACCTTCGAAGCCATCACACATGCAACCGGGCTAATGAAGATGATACCCGCCATGAAACATGTAGAACCGCATCCTGGCTTACCATGCAATTGTAACCAGTACTAGATAAGCTATTCCTTTTAAGGATCGCTTGGTAAGCTTCTAGCCTGATTTCCGAATCACATGCTTTCTGATCACGCGCAGCTTCCCGCGCGGCGATCAATCAATGCCATGCTATCCAATGATTGAACGCACACGTCGGCATCCTACTATGAATTTGAATCGGCCTACTATTTCAAGTCCGAGATGGGTTGCCCACCGAGTATCATGGAGGTCTATCTAAATATTCTGCAAGATAGTCAATCCGTTTATCGGAACCAATCATCATATCATAGAAAAGTTAGCTTCAACTTGAAGGCAACGGTTGCTGACAACCATGACATCCTCATATCCTTACACACCTACAACGTTCCGGGCAACTGTGAAACCGCGCCCATGGGTACCATTCAAGTCTCATGAAGGGCCCGTCAAAGTCCCGTTCCTGCCCTTCAAGCCCAGGTCCGATGACTTGCTCGGCGTCTATAACATCAGCACGCATATTATACCTGGAGCTAATCCCAGGATCACCCCAGATATTCCAGTTCCCGAGCCGCCTCCTCGCTCTTCGAAAAGAACCGGGAAGGATATCAAGAAACTAGGACTCGAACTCATGGAACAACAGGCCCGGTTAGTGGAGGACGGTTATTCCGCAGTTGCGAACGAAAGGTTGCTGTGGAATTGTGTCAACCGGTATGTGAAGAAGGACCGAGACGTCAAAGTCAGAACGAAGGGGATCACATTATTCCTTGTGCACGGAGCAGGCTTTCCGAAGGAAGTGAGTGCCTCCTCACAGTTCGCATGCTAGAATCTGACTATACATGATGTATACTTAGATTTGGGAGACCACCCTATGTTACCTACTAACTGCTTGTGGTGTCATAGACGAGATATGGTCATGGGAGTTCGTGCAACATGGCGACTCTGCTCTGCTGAACAAACATAATCTCAGTGGTACCTGTGAGATGCAATTTCTCAGACCTCTTGCTTGGATTTAATCGAGAACAGTTGACTGGACTGACAACGCGAGAGACATCGCAAACTTTCTCATTAACTATATGCCAGAAGAGGTAGAAACATCTCTCCCCATTCAACTTCATCGACTTCCTGCATCCATCGGTGAATCACGTCAAAAGAGTGGCTTCTCCTCCCGGACCTTGGTCGTAGTAGGACACTCGTTTGGAGGTTGCTCAGTGTATGTCATTGGCGATCCGGAGACCTGTCGAATCTCACAATATTGAACAGGACGTTAACTGCGTTGCACTTCCCTACCTTGTTCTCCTCGATGATTCTCCTCGACGCGATGATTGATACTTTCCAGAAATATACGTGGGAGCACACGCAGTACTTGGTTGGGGCTACTTTGTTAAGGCGTGATCAATGGCCAACACGGTGATTAAACTTTGACTACACTCTTGCATCGGAGTACTACTGAGTATGATTGCAGGGAGGACGCCCTGCGTTCCTTTAAATCTTCACCCATGTTCTCCGCTTGGCATCCCGACGTCCTTCGGCTCTATGTTGATTTCGGACTGTACGAGGATGATAGCGGAGGCGTCAGATTGAATACGTCTCCCGTTCACGAGGCTCTTATCCTCGCGAACCCACGGGTTAGCCTTGAAACCTGGGAATTGATGGAAACGCTTGACGAAAAGATTGAGCTACTGTGGATTCTTCCCGGAAAACCAAGCCAGGATGTGTAAGCCAAAACGACAGGATCAAGTTCGCTGACTGATAGGCGTTATCCGACAGGTCGATGCTAGTGGAAGATAGGAAGCAGCGTGCTTGGCGCAGACCTGCCAATTCATCTAACATCATCTTCAAGTCGTCTAGCCATCTCGTCTGTATCTCTTCTTCAATTGTTTATATAACTAACATAAGTGTAACCTAGATCCCTCAAGAGGCTCCAGAAGAGCTTGGTATGTTGACATGAAGGATTAATCGTTTGCCATCTAACGTTCACACAGCGCAAGTCATTGCCAACTTTCTGAACAGGAAATATGTTATTTCCTCAGGGAAATCAAAGCTCTAGAATCGTGTATAAGAATGAGCCGGAAACTTTAGGAACCATCACGGTACTTAAACTTTGACTAGGCCCTGGATAATATCACGTAGAGCATGGCTTTTTTTCAGACATTGAAAGTAAATGGGGAGAAAAACAAGCCACTAGCTGATTATGAGCTTAACGGAAAGTTATGAGCAACCGTCGCCAAAGATCCATCATATTGTATGCAAGGTTGTAATAACCTTGAACTTCAAATTCGAGCTCGCTCCAAAACTAAAGTCGCGCCGCTGGCACCTGAGCCTGAGGGGAGCTATAGACAGGCAACGTCTTGCTAAATTCCTCCCAGCGCTTATCCGATATGATAGGTGATGACACGTATGGCTCGACCTCCATCGCAGTGAGCAACTCCTCCAGGCGAGGTAAAGCTGCCGACAATGCAGCATCCTCCATATGTACCATGGCCTTCCGCGTAAACACGCCATGTTCTACATACCACGCAGCATCTGTCTTGACCGCATTGATGAGATACAGATCGACAAGACATTGGGAGACTTCTTGGTCGACAGCGGCGTCACAGGCCATGCGGTGTCCCACGGATTCGACCATTTGCTGACAGCGTGGCTGTACATATTGCATGAACGCTTGCGTGAAATCGGATGAGGAGGAAACAATATCGGTTGCTTCATCGAATAACGAGATTTCGTGCATCGCAAGTGGCCCATCTGGGTGTGTCGAGAAAGGTAACTCGTACGTTTGCGACAAGGTATCTGCCACGAGTCCTATAATTTATCTGTAAGTCTTTGGTTTGTGCGAACATCGATGTACTGCACTGACGCATGGAAAGCGCTGGAATCTTTGATCAGCATCATGTCACCGGAGAAGGCTAAAAGTCATTTACCTAAAATGTCACCTTCAGCGATGCTAACTCCCCTCGCCTCGCTCTGTGAAACAGATTAATTCTTCCTCTAGCATGACTGTCAAAGAGAAGGCCCTCGTACATAAAAGTTGGACAGCTGGTTATATTCGAAGAGGCCTTGGGCTCCAAGCCTTTCAGACAGTGCGTAATTTGCAACTTGTGCATGCTGATGCATGACTGCTTTGCAGCAAGCCGCGATGCCGTGTCGCACACGAACATCAAGATTCTTGTCCATAAACTGTTGGACAGCCCATTTGTGAAGCGCTCTCAGAACGAACGCCTGAGCAATGGCGTGTAATAAAGGGAGCTGTTGTGTTCGGTATGAAATTATGGGCAAAGGATTTCCTTGCAAACTGGTGACATGACGACGCTGAAAGTAACGCGCGGCGATGTACGATCCCACCTGAAGGTAAGGTATTGCAGCTGAGCCAAGCGCTAGCGACCCGACCGCAACACGCCATATAGACGACATGAAGTCACGATGGATTGTGTTGGACTTGGTGAGGTCTCCGAGAAGGGCCGAAGGCGGTAAACGGACGTGATGGAAGCTTGTGAGCGCATGATTGACGGGGAACGAGCCTCCTCTAGGTGGTAGCAACCTAGTCATAGAGCAATAAGTTTGAAATCGGTGAAATAAATTTAAGAAGCACTCGCATTGAAGTCACCCCGTTGCACATATCATATCCGTCGTTCAGATTCACAAGAAACGGTCGAGGTCCACGACATTCGCCATCCACGTACAGTTGTGCGAAAACAACGGCGACGCATGGAAGACCTTTTACTGGAATGGTTGGCGGCATGAACCTGCATCATCGTGATTAGCAGCTCTCAAAGATATACTGATCTCGTACTTGGCATCCGAGGGCGACGGCGTATGGAGGTCGAATTCGCCTGTTGGAAGAAGTGTGGCTGATGTCTTCATTCGGAAGATGTCTAGGCCTCTCCCCAGCTCGGTAAGGCAGAATTGGCCACTGCAAAGAGATTATGTAGTGCCTCTGCAAAATGGACATCAAGGTTAGCTCACCTGACATTCCATCGAAGAATGTCTTCAACGAGGGAGACTAGATCAGGTCTAGTAGTTGCAGCATATTTTGCAAGCGTTCCTGCGACCAGATTGTACTGGATTGTCACCAGCGTAGTCGCGGCCCCATCTCGGACCATGATCGGGTCGGTGTGGATGTCCCAAAATTTTTGCGTCAAATTCAATGTGTCATTAAGAGTGATGCCTGCAATACGAGATCAAGACATGCCCCGTGAACAAAATAGTTTGATATGCACCGAGTGCTAAGCCAATAACCTTGGCTCTTTCGTATGAGAGAACCACTCGAGCATTGCGACTGAGGAGCTCGGAGCGTTTCTTGAATAGATCTGACTGACAAAGCTGCGACGTAGGTGTCATAATGGAATGTCTCGGAGTGGGGGAACGAAGTATGTTACTTTAGTTTCTCCGACTCTCGTCTGTTATATAGTATCTAGATAGTCAAGGATCTATCAGCCACAATCATGTAGGCCACGGGGTTACAAGAAGCAAACATCAAACCTTCAAGTCGGGTAGCATTCAAAAAAAAAAATGAGCTGATCGACACCTGTTTTGGACCAGCCATATTTGGTGTAGCTCAGCAGGTGTTTCGTAAATGCTCGTCTTGGTTTTTACGAAGGATAAGTCTGTTCCACCGATTGCGCAGTAGGGAGCTTTTTTCCAACACCTGGCAAAACTCAGTCATAGCCGCTCGTATCTGACAGTCTATCAAAATGTTGCACATACTACATATGGAGCAGCTTGAGTGCGAGATGAGATACCTTGTAGATTTGAATATGCCCACTTGCCTGACAGCTTGGTGCGAGCCCGCTTGCTGGACGTACTACTACATATCTGTGAATTCCAGGACCCGAAAAGGACCTTCCAAACTTAGAGTGCGGTGTCTGTTACTGTTACCACTCCGCCACCATTCGGTGGTTAAGCTGTGGCGAAAACCTGGGTGCCAGTCACTGCAACGTAAGAACGTAACGACAAGATTGGTAAGTAATTGGATTTTTTTTCATGTTCGATGGGTCAGACTCTCACAGGCTCAGAGCCCTCCCATCACTAACGTCGTAACGTCGGGTGTTGGGGACTTCTTTGTGCAGCCATCCATTCTGTGGCTGCCCTACTTAGTATGAAATGGATGAGCAGTGCACAAATCACATGCCCTTCCGGACCAAGTGACTCGCTGATCAGCAAAAGACTCATAATTTTCGCTTGTCAAAAAGAAGTAGTATGATGCATACGGTGAGCTTACGGCGCTGCTAATGGAGCAACACGCGCGCGATTGGTGGCATAGATGTTTCCGTGAATATAGTGTTTTTTTAATCAATTTTACGCCAAGGTCTCACAGTGATTAGGCAAGCGGAGTCCCCCAGCTTCATGCTCGGGGGACTCAAGGAAAATTTGATTGCGAATCAAGAGACCGAACTACAAGATACGGCAGCATAATGCGAAATGGGTTCGAGGCTCGAAAAGACGCGCTCGGATGAGCGATGAAAATATTTCTAAGACGAAAGGAAAACGAAGTAAGTGACAAAGGCACGATGAAAGGTGCTAAAGGGCTAATTTTTTTATTTTATTTTTATTTTTTGTCTTCTTGTTTTCTGGTCTTGATGCCTTTTACCAATCTGTACGAGCGAGCTGAAAGTGAGAAACTCTGTCGAGTCCGAGTGGTGTCTCAAGCTGAGTGTGACATGTGTGGTTGTGACGCGGGCGCGCGCCCGCCGCTATGCAGTAGAGCGTTGAGCAAGAATGGGTGTTGACGCACGTATTTCCTGAACTCTTCAGAAGACCAACGACCCGCTGTTTGAATCAAGTCTGGCGTCATTCCTGCGATAGCTAGTGCCGTCGCCCCTCCTGCCCTCATCGAATGCCCTGACATGCGAGACCCACAATGTTCCTTCAACCGTCGCAAGAACCAACCGCGTGTCGGTATTGATCCCGCGCTTGTCAACCACAGCGCTGGACGGAAGGGAAAAGATTCATCCCGAAACGTGATGTAACGTTTCAGCACTAGTAGTGGGTCACGCACTACCAATGAGTTCACGAGAATGAGGATGGACGTTCCAGTCCCGAGGTTATCGTTTTTCTGGTAGGGAAGGGTGTAAGACAAGGAAGTTGCTGACATCATGAGCGTGTGGCGCATAGGCACTTTCCGATATGACTGATGCTGGACAGCATCTGGCCAAGTCAATTCTCCTAATCGTTGCAGTGTCAAAAAACCTGTGAAGAGTAGTGAGAGGAAGAGACTGTCGTCGTAGGTTGGTGTTGGTCCCCAAGTATTTCGTACTCGCTCTAAGTCGTCCACACACAGAGGGAGGTTTCTCTGCACTGGACTGGACATCCGTCGTTTGCAGCCGCGCAACGTTCGAGCTACTATTGCAGAGCGGCGCGCTTTTCGGACGTCGGGATATGACTCCTCCAGACGATTTCCAATGCCCGACAGGTAGGAGTCAACCAAACGAGGCTCGATATGATGTGAGAGCCAAACAACGTAGAAGGATAGCGTATCGACCGTGGGGTCGATTGGAAGATGGTGTAGCCGACAGAAGGTTATATATGAGTTGAGGTGTGAATCGTAAGCTGAAGCTGTCGTTGCCTCGATTGCAAAACCAAGGGCAACCGAGCGCTCATACAGGAGACGCTCGTGCGTCCAGGCTTCCCTTGTGGGTTGCCTAGACGATGCGGACACCTGCATCATTTTTTCGCTGCCCCCAGCGCATTCCGAGGGGGTTCAAAGTCGAAAAAGCTGGCATCTGGTGCCAACATTAATACACGTTCGTTTTGGAACCGTGAAAGCGCATCTGCCACTCCGTTACTATACCCAGGTACGAATTCTACCCGCAAATCTACGTCGTATTGTAGAAGAACGTCTACCGCCGCAAGCAGGATGGTGTTGTAGGGAGGATGAGCACGAAGCGAGTTGAACATCGATACTGTATTGCTGTTATCGGTGTAAATGAGCATTTTCGAGGGAATTTCCGTCATGTTAGGGATGAAATGAATGGCCGAGCAAACGGCAAGAGCTTCGAAGAAGTAAATGGTGTCTTTTGGGGGATCCACGGGTAGTTGGCATTGTCCAGCGAAGTTTTCATGGGGAAACCATAGTCCCAACCCCAGACTGGAAGCGTCTGTATAAGCCACAACCATGTCGTCCGATAGAGGATCAAAATCTAGTGATTTGTAGAAATACAGACCCTTCAGTCGATCCATGTGGTCCGCCATCCAGGTGAGTTCTCCGATTATCGCATTGTTCATGTGAAGACGCGCTAGAGGCAGTTTCTTCCCTCGCATCTTTTCATACACGGACGACAGTCCAGGCTTCAGCAAGGGGAAGATGTTGAAACTCCACTCACACCATCCTGCGAGCTGCTGGTACTCTCTCAGCGTCCATCGAAAGTTTTTGCGTCCGAAGGCGCGTAGGTGATTAATTAGTTCAACCTTCTTGTGAGCTGGCAGTGTTGCTGACATAGCGTTTGGGTCCACGTCGAACCCAATAACTGTCAGAGGCGACCCAAACAGTTGTTTGGGTCGATCGTGAGGTACGCCGATCTCGTCCCATAATTGCAATAGGTGAGTCTGCTTTTCCGGGAAGTCACATTGATATGGCTCATAGCGGAGCATCCGCCCAGCGACTTCGAAGGAGAAAGAGTCGTCCATATACAGCTTAAGAGCGTTGATGAGAGTGTGATGAATAGCGATCCATGCGACCAAAGACATGAATGATATCCAGACTTTAGGTGAGCCGCGTCCACCGAAATTGTTGCAACGATCAACGTGACGTTGACCACGAAACATTAGTACCTGCTTGGCTTGCCACAGCGGGTGCATAGGAAGTCTGCGAAAGGCTTGGGATACATCAGATTTGAAGAGAAGCAGTTTTTCGTCTGGATAGTCCTTTCTAAACTCCAGTAGGGATGCGCCTAGTGAGTGTAAGCCATCCAGTTTGGTCCCTTTAATGTCATCCGAGTCAATCATAGAGTTAAGCGAGTACTCCCCGGCTGTATGATCTACGACCAGACGCAACTTGTCCGAATTTGGTTTTGGGACCGTGTGCATAGGGACACTATACATCCCAGGGAACAGCTCAGTTCCAAAACTTTCAGACACTCGTCTCAGCCGCAATTCTTCATTAAGTTGATCTTCAATGAACTTCTCCTGCTCTTCGGACTTTGCGCACGTCCGCATTGAGTTATCGTTCATTGATGGATAGTTTTTGTCAGAGGCGTCCGCCCAAGGCCAAAAGCCTTCGCGTAGGGCACGACACACGGACTGAACGAAAGGCTGATTAGGATGATCCACCAGGAGGTCTTGGAAGCGATCCACTTTGATGGGTGTTACTATCCGAAAGAGTTCCGGATGATTGGCAATGGTGTGGGCCACGTCAGTATCTGTAAGGCAAAGCGGTGCTGATGGGACCGGCTCTGCATACTCTGTTGAACGCGCTGTTGGACTAAAGGATGCATCGGTAGAAGACCAGATTAGCCCTCGACGATAACGTGGACGCGAAAGGAATTGTTCAGGTTGATTTGCCTTTGCCATCTTCGGTGTGTTTAGTTCTGACATGGCGGCGTCCACATATTCGTCCGTTTTGTTCAACATTGCAGATGTGTGCATAGCGGCAACTGGAAGCACTGCGCGTGCATTCTCCGTTGTTCCATTTGCGGCAAGGATCCCACTTAGCTGAAGATTCGCGTCCTCCTTCAGAGGACTTAGTGGATTCTCCTGAATCCATGAGGAGTCGGCCACCAGCGGAGAAGTGGGAAGCATAGAGATCTCTGAAGTATTCGAAATCAGAGAGCTCGTACCTCCGAGTGTTACCGACTCTGAATCTAACGGCTCTATCATACCGGAGGACATGGTCATGGTAGGTTTCAAGCTGCTGGTCGAATTGTTCATTGATGTGTTCCGAGTAGGCGTCAAGCTCAGCCTGTCGGAAAGGGAATGCAAACTTGTAGGCTCGTGCAGCTCTGTTCCACGCTGCATTCCAATGATTTTGTTTGGTGATCTTCTTCGTCGCCGTTTCTGAGACTCCGTAGGCAAACTCAACATCTCCGATGACTTCCTTATGCTTTTCGACAGCGCGCGAGGTCGTAATGATGGTGTGGATTGCATCGAGGTTGAGACTTCGTCCGGCGACAATGTCAGCCCATCCGGACTCATGGAATTCTGGACTTCGTTCATGGTACATAAGCTTGAGCTTTGCTTGCTTCTGGTCCTGCGACCAATTTTGGAGGATGCGGATGGTATGTCTGAGGTTAGCGGATAAGGGCTTGGATGGATTCTCGTGGACAGTTGGTTTGAGGTCAAGACAGGCGAAATCAAGCTTAGCCCGCTTTCGAACAGGTTCTCCTGGCTCGACGCTGGCTCGTTGACTTCTGACAACCTCTGGACATGCTTCATCTTCGTCAAATGCTGGTTCAATTGATTGGCGTCCTCCGGCAGTTCCAGACGCTCTATGGTGGGCACGACTCTGTTCTGATTCCCATTCATCAAGCATGGCGAGGTAGATAGCCGCAATCGTAGAGGGATTTTCGCCTGAGCCCAATGGGATGGTTTCTTTGACGATGGAGGAGATGACGTAGGCCACATCAAATTTTGAAGCCTTTGCGGTCCTAAAGTCTTTGACGACGTCAAGGCATCTCTTCGCCACGTTTTGTTGGGGTAAATGCGCTCCATCAGAGTCGGTTTCAACTGAAGCCCCTCGCATTCCGGGTCCCCTAAGCGATGGTTGCGTTTGGGACGTATTGGCGGCATTAGTGTTACTTGGGCCTCCAGAATCTGACATATGATGGAAGTATGACCGAATTTGGGTGTTGAAAATTCAATATTTACGAAAATTGGAAAGTGCAGACGGTGCACAAGCAGACGGTGCTTTAGGAGACGAGTATGCGACGTGCCGAAAAAATCACGTCAGTTAGATACTTATATCCAGAGAAAGGGGTCTCTAACGATGACGCTGAGTCATGTTTTCGACCAGCGTCGCGAATCGATTCAACTTGGTTAAACAAGTTTAACCCCGATTAAAGTCCAGTCCGATCTGGTTTTTTAGCCATTTTTGGCACAACCGGACCTGGACCGGTTCCGGAGTCACCCGAGACTGGAAACCGGTTTCCTTCAGTTGCCGGACCACATTACAGTACTAGGTTGAATCAACTTGCACTGGTGACGGGCGCTCGTAGAATGAGTTTAGGGCAAGCGGGGCCCTCCAGCTCAATGCTCGGAGGACCCACAATCAATTTAAGTGACAGCTCCTACATGAAACATAATTGTATGTAGATGGTGCACAAATGACACCCGAATTACTAGTATACAAGCCACCAAATGACTGGTGACTGAGAAAGTTGAGCTTCATCAGTAAATCACCAATTTCTCCACAGAGATCGACGTTTTCGATATTTTCTCACAGTAGTGCACAGTGCTGACAGAGCTCACAGGATGTACAGCTTCATATGTTGTCAGACCGCACAGCAACGTACAGTGCCGACAAAGCTCACAGGATGTTAAGCCTCATACCTTGCCAGACTTCACAGCAATTGCAGTTGCTCAAAGCATGGACAGTTCGCACAGTGTAAGTGACTTGATTTCGAATCAAGTGGAGTACCTCCCAAAGACATGACACCATGTAGTACTAGTTAAACTTAAATTCAACACCGTTCGGGAATGTTTCAGGCGCAAAACAAATTTCATACTTGACAACAGGCAACATATATAAGCATACTACATGCAAAACTACGTATCCATATGGTCAATAGATGTAAGAAGGACAGGCATAGTACAGCTACGAGACGAGTACTATGAAACGAAGCGGTCAGTCAAGAACTATTGTGGGTTGCCGGCTCGGCGGGATTTCCACATCTGATGCACCTATATGATATTATAACAATGACATTGCAAAAGATTATATTGCACCTACCGAACGAACTTATTTGATCCTGTCTCCGCAATAACACATGATTCTGAGGGAGATGAGACCAGCCGTACTTCCTGAAGATGATCCTCATCCATCCCAGCCCAAGGTCCATATCATCTACTTTCTTTTCAGCGGCTTCTGCTTGGAATTGGATTAGGCTAGCGAACACCTCATTTTCCCGTAGTATGCAATCCACGAGCATCTTCTGAGCGAGGAAAACATTGTGTTTCGCTCTTACAACATCCATAACCAAGTTTGCCTCGGAGTCTGATGGTTCGTGGACGGACTATTGAAATGTGAGGTGTATTGAGGAACTGATGGACGAGATCGACTTACCATAGAACTGACTGCTTCAAGGACATCGTATAGGTCACCAATACCGGCGAATGGTCCATCACTGCGATTATTGTTGGAGCCAAAATGAGTGGAAGCTGGAGAGCAGGAAGCGCTTGCTGATAGCGATCGCAGAGTGGTAATATCAAATTTTAGTGACTCAGGAAACATGAGGAGAGAATGTAACGTGTAGATTCCGGAAAACGCCGGTCAATTCTGGCCTTGTCTTTTCTCAGTCCGCGATCACAGCATTATGCCAGCTCGCTGTCCTTCTTGCGGGAAAGAGTTCAAGGACCATACCTCTGTTGCTCGCCATATGAGCCAACCTCGGTCCGGGTGTAATACTTGGCTAGAAGATTTGATCCGGCTCGACTCGATTCTCCCACCCAGCAAAGACGATCCTATGGTCACAGATGACCTTCACGAACTTTATACGTCCTCCTATGAAACAGGAGAGGATATGAATATGTTTGACTTTGGTAACGAAGGAGAGCAAGAATATGGAGGTAGAACTCAGGATAGGGATGCGGAAGTAACCGACTTCTTTCCTGAGCCCCCACTCGCCTTTGAACACGGCTACACGTTCTTAAGTCTATTTGAATCTGACGAGAATAGCGTCTACCGCAAAACCAACCTTTACTATCCGTTTTCAAGCAGGAGAGAATGGCAACTTGCGGCATGGCTTCTGCGTTCGGGCCTAAGCATGGAGAAGATCAATTCTTTTCTAGCATTAGAGATGGTCCGTGCTTTATTTTCAATGTTCTTGCGATCACTTGAGCTAACGGCACATACTTAGATTCAGGATCTACATCTATCATTCCACTCAGCAAGAGAGCTTCGAGGTCAAGCTGAATCACTACCGACTGGCCCGCGTTGGAAATCCCAAGTTATTCGTACATCTCACGCTACAAAGTCGCCGGTTATTCTCTACTGGCGGGATCCGATCGAATGCATTTCCAATTTATTCAATCACCCTTTATTTCACATCCGTATGGACTTTACGTCTCGCAAGGTTTATACTACAGCGCAGAAACTGTCTCGGGTGTATACTGAATGGATGACAGCTGACCATGCTTGGGAAATGCAGGTATGTGATTCATCTTATACGAAGTCATTGCCTTATATTGTTGAAGTCGGCGCTACCTCATGGCGCAACACTCATTGGTACTATTTTGTCTTCGGACAAGACATGTATCACTGCATTGACGGGTGATCGCGTTGCACATCCACTCCTTCTCAGCATTGCCAACATTCACATGAACATGCGGTTAAAATCATCCTCGAACACTTTCGTACTTACTGCGCTGTTACCCGTCCCTAAATTCATTCACAAAAAGAAATGAATGAAGGGCGTGTTACAGGATCGGCTTGTTCATCAGTGCCTGGACGTCGTATTAGAACCACTGAAGGTGGCTACTCGAGAGGGTGTCATGTTGTCAGATCCCACTGGACGCAGTCGTTACTGCTTTACCCCACTTGCGAGTTATATCGCTGATACCCCTGAAGCCATGATGCTGGCATGTGTCAGTGGAAAGACGTCTCCTGTTACGATGGCCATGTACAAACAATTTGGAGATGCATTCCGACATGAACCCCGCACAAGAGCAACGACCCTCGCACAGCTAGATGTTGTGCACTCGCGTGCTGATGAAGACAATATCGAAGCATTTTTCCGCGAATCGCAGAAGTTCCGCCTGAATGGCGTTGCAAAGCCTTTCTGGAGTGATTGGGCATTAGCGGATCCTGACCGGTTTTTCACACCTGAATCTTTGCACATCATTCACAAGAAGTTTTGGGATCACGACGCCCAGTGGCTTATCCTCGCAGTTGGAGAGTCTGAGATAGATTTTCGCTTTTCCATCTTACAGCCCACCACTGGTTATCGGCATTTCCACGAAGGCATCTCAAAACTCAAGCAAGTTACAGGTCGTTGCCACCGAGACATTCAGCGATCAATTATTGCAGTCTGCGCAGATGCAGCACCCCCTGGTGTCATTGTCGCTGTCCGTGCACTTTTGCACTTTCATTACCTCATACAATCACCACGCATTAACGACGACGATATCCGCCGCATCTCAGCTGCATTAGATGAGTTCCATGCCAATAAAGATGCTATTATCAGCACTGGAGTTCGCCGAGGAGAAGGCCGTACAGTTATTAACAACTGGTACATACCTAAACTCGAGCTTATGCAAAGCATCGTGCCTAGCATCCGCAGCTCTGGCATTACAGGACAATGGTCTGCGGATGTTACTGAGCACGCACATATCACGGAGATAAAAAACCCCGCGAGGTCCAGTAATAATAACAACTATGACCCCCAAATCTGTCGCCATCTCGACCGTACGGATAAGTGCAATCGCTTCGAACTTGCCACAAGCCTTCTAGACCGCGAGCAAAGTACCGAGGAGTTGGAGGGTGTTGGAGAATTTGCTGACGAGGATGATGAGACTGACGGTGATGTGGACGATACTCCCGCAGGACTACCCTCCGGATCTCAACGACCTGGACAGCCACGTTCTATTACGAACTACTTTGCAATCACCAATATGCTCCAGCAAAGGGAAATGGGATCAGTGCCAGTCCCGTTACGCACCTTTGTTGTCAGACGGACGGCTTTTCATCTTGCTTACGAACCTTCTATTCGGAGTGTTACTCTTGATGAAGTTGCCGTCAAGTTTGGCCTACCAGATCTGCGCCCAGCTATGGCTAATTTCCTTCACCGTGAGGTGACTTACAGCAACCGCGTTCACTCGATTGGTGGTCCCAGAAGGGCTGGACATAACGCCGAACTCCCATTTCATAAGGTTCAAGTCTGGTTTAAAGTCCGTTTGCAGGAGATGGAATTTCACGACATCTGCGACATTCGCCCAGCTCAGACATTAAACTGCGCGCCACCCAGCGACCCCTGGACATTAGGCCGTTATGATAATGTCATTATCCAGACTAGCACAGAGCACTCTTGGCCTGCTAGTAGTCTCACAGGTGCGCTCTTTCTGCATTTATTATGATATTTACTGTAAGTTAAAGAATGTTTCACACAGGTCACTCCATCGCACAAATCAGATTGATCATGCGGCCAATTGGCAAAAACGGCACGCTGTGGGCATGGAAAGACCGATTCATTGCATATGTCCAACGTTTCAATATCTCTAGTGAATGTGATCCAACTACTCAGTTGCACGTACTGAAAAGAGCAAAGTGTTCCAATGGCATTCGGATGGGCGGTGTTATTCCAGTTTCTCAGCTGAGAGCGCCTGTCAACCTCATTCCCCGCTTTGGTGCTGCTGCAGATAAGCGCCTCACACCCTATAATAGCATGGAGCATGCAACCGAGTTTTGGTTAAATTATTTTTGGGACAAAAACACCTTTTTTGTGCTATCATCGTAGTATACTTGTAGTATACTTGCACTAAGTTGATGCTTGATAGGTTCAATTTTAGTATGTTTAAAAATCACCCCCAAGTCGTACTATCGTAGTCGCCAATGGTAGGTATTCATCCAACTGTTACTTCAGTCTTCATAATGGCGTATCACAGCAAAACTGTTGATTATGGAATGAAGATGGCATCGCTGATGTCGGTTCCCTACGTTAGCAATGTCCATACTATGGACAAACTGACAGATCGTGAGCTCAATCACTTGATTGTCAAAGAAGAAAAGCCACCAGATAACGCTGACAAGCCTCTCAGTTTCATGTTGGCGCGGATTTTTTGGTCATTTACAGTCACACTCCCTGACATGATGGAGCTGAGGGTCCCTTTACATAAAATTCGCTACAGGGATCACAGACTACACAGTAAATTCACCCTCATACATGAACAGGACCTGGTTCCGCTGTTCAATGAAGATGAGCAGCAGTGGAACTGGGCGCTTCCAATATTGCATCTCGATGAGCCTCACATTGAACAGATTGAAGAAACTGTTGGAGATGGGTCAGAGGAAACTGAGAATGAGATGTCTGGGAGTGGGGTCAGCGACAGCTTACCAGAGGGTCCGCCAGTTGAGGCTCGGAAACATCCATTCGAGGAAATCTTCGCCTCCTTTTTCAATATCATGTCTGGTGCTGTTGCCCATGAGCAGCCAATGGTCATGAAGGCGAATAACGCAGTGATATGTACATGGAGTTCGGCCAATGCCACGTGTCCTGTGAAGGACGAGGAAATTCAACGCAAGCCTGACCTTGCGCTGTTGAATGACGTGACAGCTCAATGGGACATGATCAAGGCTGCTATCCCTCACCAACGGGTACCATGAACTGTGAGTACACATGTACGACCACTCAGGCGGTGTTGTAACACCTGGTATCAATATCGTCAGTGATCCAAACTTTTACCTTCACATCTTATCCTGTCTTGTCTTCAGCAATCCTGAGTGCCTTGGATACGATCCTTCGATCCTCATCTTTACGAAAACACTTTGGCCTGCCCGAAAATCCATCAGCTTTTTCTCGCCCGACAACAAACAAACTACCTACCCTAGATCAAGCACACGAATCCTTAGCCAAATCTCCAATGGACGAGGTTATCCAGGTTGGGAGTACTGCCCCCCCTCAGATTGGGAGTGCCGTCCCCACAATGTCTAATGCACCAGTGAGTGCCTTCACAACCAAAGCTACAGTAACTCCCGACCCCCCCGAGACAGAAATCCCCACAGATCCTCTTCGTACGTATCCCTCACAGCCAATCGGAAAGATATTAGTCAACAACCACACGTACGACATCCTTGAACTCATCTTTTCTAGCCAGGGGCTTGTTGGGCGCGGCACAGTCTGTTATTTGGCCAGGAGAGACAATGAAGAATACATAATCAAGGACCATTGGGTCCTTGGGGATAAAAATGTCGCCTTGAATGAAGTTACGATGCTTCAGGCCATGCAAGGAGTCCGCGGTGTTCCTCAACTATTCGAACATTGGCTTGTTGAGATTGGGCCTCAAGAGGTTGATGAAACGATGAGTTATCGTGGCAAGATTTGGCAGAGTATAAAAGGTACTTCACGCACACATGTTCATTTGGTCTTGAAGCCCCGTGCGCGACCTTTACACACGTTCCGGACGAAAGTAGAGTTGATTAGTGTGATTCAGGACATCGTTAGAAGTAAGTGTAGTCTCTGCTCACTCTTCCTTTTGCTGACTTGTTTTTCAGTTCAACAGATAGCTGTTGAAGAACGTGGAATTCTCCACCGAGACTGCAGTCTCAACAACTCCATGATCGAGGATGACAGTAATGGATCCCATGGAACATTAATTGATTGGGAATTCGCTGTGCGTATTCTTCAAGGCCAAAAATATGCTATTGGGGGGACGGTCAGTACACATTTACCTATGTAGACTCAATATGCTGACGTTGACTGTCAGGGAACGGCACCTTTCATGTCCCATTCGCTCCTGTTCCAGCTCTCTGAAGCTGTTGGCGGTAGAGCAATGTCTCAAAATAGCTGGAAGCATGCCTCGCATTCCCATATACAAGCACCTCCTCTTATTAAGCACGGCTGTCAGGACGATCTCGAGTCAGTTTTTTACGTCTTCGTTTGGATCTGTATTGGGTACAGGGGTCCACTTGGCGTGAAACGTGTTCTTGGGCCTTGGAAGCAATCAGAAGGGGATTGGCTACTGCATCTGTGGTCCACCAACTCATTCAAGGAGAATGGTAACGAGAAGACCTCATTTTTTTTTCATCCGCATGCGGATAAACTCAGCCAACAATTCCACCCCTACTTCCATGACCTACTCCCGCTCGCGCTGGACTGGTACGAATTAATTAGGGGTAAAGGACCATTGCATGCGCCGACGTTTAAAGAAGTCATCGATCTTTTGACTAAGCACCTCGACATGCTTCCAAAGGATGAGCCTTCCCCGGAGCTTTTATTCGCGCGAAAGGTCATTGATGCACTTCCTAGTGGACTCCCTGGTGGAAAAAGAAAGGTGGCATCCAAAGCAGCTGATAGAAATGTAGATTTACCAGTCATGGAACGTGACATGATATTAGGGGGTCGAGTTCTTTGGACGATGGAAGCCATTCCCCAGCCCAAGCGGATGAGAACTACCTAGTATGTCTACTATACGTACGATTATAACTCACCCTCGGACTTATTAATGACTCCTATTATGAGAGGCGTATAGTATTAATTAGCTGAGCGCAGTTTTCCCAGGCAGACTGAGTCACTTCAAAACACTGACTACGTTATGCACGCTATCAAACCTTCCCTTAACACTCACCTCATTCATCTTCGACGACGAAAGGAGGTCCTGAACAGGTCTAAAATTCATGTCTACTTCATAGCAGCTGCTTGTTTTGGCCCGGACCAACGTTCGAACTTCGCCTAAATACCTTTCACTCTTTGCATCTCCATTCGTCATGTCAGAAGAGCCTTGCTGCATGACTTATGACTCGGTTCACAGGCTCGGATCACCTCGTGCACGACATAATTCCGGCAGGTGGTGATTTTTTAGTCATGTTTAAAGCGGTTGAATGAGTTTTTAGATTACTTAAAGGTGAGTATTTGGGAACTGTCAGCTTGGTGTCTCATCCCTCCAATTCTCAGTCATGCCCGGTAGCCCTAGTAAGAAAAAGAGAACGAAGCGCAAAGCTCCAGAATCTGATCTCAAGGTGCTCGACGGGCAAGCAGGCTCGGGAAAGCGATCACGAGCTCACGCCAAGGCATCGTTGCCGCTGAATAACGACGCAGATGAGTCTCAGCATCGCCCTTCGGGTCGCGCAGGTGCAGGGAAAGGAGGTAGGGCAGCTCAGCTGGAAAAAATAGGTGCTATTTTGGATGCTCCAGCGCGGACGAGTCAACCGAAGGGCGCCACATCCCTTAATGCTGATTTTCCCGTGAATCCTCTTGCTCCAGAGCTACCTCACAAGGGTCGTGGAAGTCGCTCCAAAGTATTCCCTCCAAACGATTCAAGACACGATGCTAATCAGACGCACAGATTAAGCAGCCCCCTCCTCCTTACACCACTTCAGGGACATTGGATTCAAACACCGTGGCTCCCAGACCACGGCCAAAGAAAATTAAGGTAAGTTTTTAATTTGCAATCGCTCATGTATTAATTCTTGTTAAGAAAACTGTCGCTCCTTCCCTGAACCTTGAGGCCTTGAACAACCAGCCCGCTTTCGTTCAACGCGAAGTTGGTGGACATTACGAATTTTCTCCACCCATCGTTCCTCCTGGAACAGAACCGGACCTTCAAGCACTCAACAACTCATTTGTGGCTGCAGCCAAGGCAGCCAAGGAGCAATGTACTCCGTCTGCATCTCACGGCTCGCATCTTGCTGCTGACGCCTTCAAACGCCGTCTTCCTTCTGCTGCTTCTAGCGATGCTGATTTGTCACAACAGTTACTTTCAAGGCCAGCTATTGTGAACCTGCCGGACGCTCGCTTGTACGAGAATCTGGATCCCACCCTTCGGCCAACCAACCAGAGCGACTTCGGGCTGCAAGGCACAGACTCTGAAGGTTCAGACGTGTCCGAGGAGGGGAGTGATACATCTGATGGAGACGAAGATGGTGCAGACGAAGAGATTGGTTGGGGAGAATCTGGAGGATGCCATAATGCACATCCTGGTACGTGATCAGCTATTTTCATCTGCGATCGCATTGACCAGTGACAGGTTTTTCGGTGGAAGTCCAACCGTCCCAACCTCGGGCTGCCATCGCTCTTCTGACCGACTTCGAATTCCAGCACTCGCGGGATGAAGATGATCAAGCAGCTGGGAGAGCTTTGGCATCCAGTGATTCTTCAAGTAGTGATGATTCGGCAACGGATGCCCCCCAGGTAAAACTTATTGGTCTGTTTGAAGTGCGCTCACATATTCTAGCCGGCTGATGTACTGGAACTTCACCATAAGAAAAATCGTCATCCCCGCCTTCCTGATCCTGTCCTTCTGGACCTCCTCCGTGGTGCTGAAACGGCCAATATGTCAGGTTCAAAGATGAAGGCAATGAAGGCATCCAAGGACCCAGGCGATGGACCCAAGTCCACACAACTAGCCTGGTATGGTCCCTGCTGGAAGCGCTTTCTTGAGGGAGCAAAGGGAGAGTGTCGTGTCGTGCACGCTCTGGAGAATCCATTCCCGAGACTTGTTCCTGATCTATCGACCAGCATCACAGAATCACTCTCAGCTTCTCTTGTTGAATGGCTCAAGGATGGTAATCAAGTTGAAGCTGGTATGTCGTCACTTCCCTTTTGATATTGTATTGACTCACAGCATCCACCAGATGTATGGCCCGCTCGCAAACCTGATATGGCAAGACTGGTATGTATCTTTCTTGTCATGAGCTCGTGTCTCATTTTTTTTTAGTTATACGATGATCTATCAACTTGGCGGTCAGACCTCAAGAAGATAGTTGTCGCCATCACTCCTTCTGTATACAGTCTCATCCCGCCGACCGATCTTTCCACTCAGGAGTGCGCGAATTGGGTCGAAGCAGCTGCTGCAAACTTGCTGGATAAATCTAAATATTTGCACGACGGGAAGGATGAATTGGGGAAGACTAAAAATTTTGTGCACCCTGGACTTCGCGAAGCCGCCATTCTTTTCATCTATGTAGGGTCTTATCGCATCGCTCATAGGCGACCAGACATCTTTTGCAAGCAGATACCACTAAATTGTTTAGCTCTCGTCGCTACAGTGGTATCATCTCAATTCTAATATACTACTATGAATGTGCTGACACTTTTTTTAGTTCAACTGTATCCTTGACGGCCTCGGAAAAAACGGCAATGGGAAGACTTACCCCAAATTTTCCTCGAAGGATTACCTGTCCATCTACCAGAGAATGCTGGCACTGCTCGAAGACATCATGAATGACCCTTACCATGGCCCGAAATTGGTGCAGCAGCTTCGTCGATGGGCTGAAGCTGGATGGTAAAGAGATACTCGGGCTTCGCATGGTTTTCGACACTGACTATTCATCCAGGGCGGAGTGCTGCAAGCTCGACGGCACCGACATGGCCAAGTACACCCACCTGCAGATAGAACTGGATTGAAGGGAGCTGCTTGTCTATCGGTCGCTAATATTAGTTATCATCGTTTTTCTTTCCATCGTTTAATGTGTCATGTGATTCGTTTGGTTCAATATATTGCGATCGTTTTGTGTGCTATTTTACAAGTCTGTGAATGTCTGTACAGCCATATATGGTGATCATCATGCGCTATTGTACAAAGCTCCGCATTTTTAAGTTGTCTGTGAATGTCTGTACATACATGTACAGCAACAATTGGAACTTTTGAAGGGTTTCTGGGAATCACTGGGGGGATCTGTGAGCATGTGTACAGTGATTCACAAAGTAAGGTGTTGCTGTAGTGAGCTGGCAAATAGGGACCAAGCTGTACAACTGGGATGCTGTCCAGCTCTGTACAGAGCCTAGTGATTTACTGATGTTGACTCAACAAAACTGCTATGGGGCTATTGTTTTTTTTTTTTAAAAAAATCTGTTAAAGATCAAAGAGATCCAGAGTCCAGATGCACACAATGATAGATGACCGACTATGAACCAAGAAATAGAACAACCAGACACGAAACATTGTGACCAACGACCCATGGAAAAAGTTGTTGCAATGGCCCATCTGCCAAAGCCAAGCACTCATGGCTACTACCAAGGATGAAGCAAGTTAACTGTCACCAAAAGGGAAGAATCGCAAACGGAGGGCTGTGTCGAGCCTCCCGTTGAGGATGCTGAAGATGAAGAGGTAATCGTGACTTGTATCATTGAAACCTGTGTATTGCAATTGGTTGTCAGCTCAACATCACCGGATAGCAGGACAGTGATGGATTGCAGGAATTTGTTTAGGGTCTGGACAGTGGTATTACACAGAGCGCAATGATGGCATTGATGTTTTCCAGATATCGAAAGTAAATGGGGAGAAAAACAAATTACTAGCTACTAGTAAATATGAGTAATTGTCACCAAAGATCTATCAAAAATTGTTATGCAAGGCTACAGCGACCCAGAACTTCAAATTCAAGCTTGCTCCAAAACCAAAGTCAATTGTGCTGGCACCTCAACTTGAGGGGAGCTATAGACAGGTAACATCTCGGTGAATTCCTCCCAGCACTTATCTGATATGATGGGTGACGACACATATGGCTCAACCTCCATCGCAGCGAGCAACTTGTCCAGGCGAGGCAAAGCTGCTGTCAATGCAACGTCCTCCATATGCACAATAGCCTTCCGTGTAAACATGCCGCGTTCTACATACCACACAGCATCTGTCTTGATCGCATTGATGAGATACAGATCGACAAGACATTGGGAGACCCCTTGGTCGACAGTGGCGTCATAGGCCATGCAGTGTCCCATGGATTCGACCATCAGCTGACAGCGCAGCTGCACATATTGCATGAACGCTTGCGTGAAGTCGGATGAGGAGGAAACTGTCTCTGTTGCCTCGTCAAATAACGAGATTTCGTGCATTGCAAGGGGTCCATCTGGGTGTGTCGAGAGAGGTAACTTGTACGTTTGTGCCAGGGTATCTGCCACGAGTCCTATAATTCATCTGTAAGTTTTTGGTTTGCGCGGATATCGATGTGCTGCACTGACACATGGAAAGTCCTGGAATCTTTGATTAGCATCACGTCACCGGAGAAGGCTAAAATGTCACTTACCTAAAATGTCACCTTCAGCGATGCTAACTCCCCTCATCTTGCTCTGTGAAACAGATTAATTCTTGCTCTAGCATGACTGTCAAAGAGAAGGTGCTCGTACATAAAAGTTGGACAGCTGGTTATATTTGAAGAGGCCTTGGGCTCCAAGCCTTTCAGACAGTGCGTAATTTGCAACTTGTGCATGCTGAATCATGACTGCCTTGCAGCAAGCCGCGATGCCATGCTGCACACGAACATCAAGGTCCTTGTCCATGAACCGCTCGATGCCCCATTTGTAAAGCGCTCCTAGAACGGACACCTGAGCGATGGCATGTAGTAACGGGAGCTGTTGCATTGTCTTCTTAGATAGTTGATCTATAGATAAACACCTATAAAACCAAGTATCTCCACGGTCAGCGATTCAGACAAATACCAATGACTGATAACGTGGTCGTTCATGGGTGGCTTGCCTTGCTCCTAAGATACAGTCAGTAGAATATGGCTCGCACAAAAAGTCAGTAGTCAGTGATCAGCAGTCAACAGTCAATCCAACAATGTGGGTATGAAACACAGCGATGAGAGAAAAACACAGAACTCGGTCAGTCAGTGATCGACAACAACAACAACAATCACAACAACACAGACAACAACAAAACAAATCAGGAAACACAGTCACTCTAACAATATAGAGATGATACAAACAAACAGACACTCTTCCTAACACTTCACACAGCAACAAGGATTCATACACAAACTTAGTGCAGCAAGCTGTGCGGAGTTACAATGAGAGTCCCCCTCAATACAAAAACAGGTGAAACTACCGTCAGGCCTAGTCAAGCCTTTGTAGCACTCTTAGCCTAATATTGAACCTGCTGCCAAGGAACTCACAATGAGTATTAAACAGACTCAGGAACGGGTGACCTTGGACTTCAATACCAAGTCCCCTTTTCAATAGCTAAAGTCTAACTCGCAAATGACTACCCTCGATCAGTATAACACACAGATGTAAGAGGTCAGGTATCACTGTCAACACCTAAAGTCTCCCCACTAGACTATCAGAGTCTTCCGTGGACAAAAGAGACAACACCAAACTTCTGGGTAAGAATGAGACTGAAACTTTGGTACTTGAGAGAAAGTTGATAGGTTGAGTCAATCAACAAAACGAGACCGCTACAACAAAAAAAAACATGAACACGATCACAGTCACGGAGACTGTTAGCAACAACGATCACAAAGCAAACAGACAGCGATCAGAGAGATGGTCAGTATAGACAGTCACCAACACACCACACACACTTGAGACAGAGAGAGAGAAACAGAAAACACGAGCTTCAGTCATGAATCTCAGACACGATCTCAGAGAGAGAAAAAAAAGAGAAAAACAATCACAGAGAGATTCACAGACAGAGACACAGACAATGACACAAAAAGAAACAGACAAATTCAGACAGACAAATCAAGAGAAAAAAAAACAGAAAAAGAAAGACTAGTCTTGCTAGTCGTCAGACACAGCGAGCTCAAGGTATGTGCTAGATATTCAACACAATGAGCTCAGAAGAGTGGTGCTGGTTGTTGAGCACAGTGAGCTCAACCTTGAACTGCACTTGCTGGTTGCTGATTCACACTTCACTCACAATTTTATTCTGAGGGTTAAAAACAGTGGGGAACTTCTTTTTTTATTGGGCAAAAAGCTGGTCCTTATATAGACAAATTTGGTGGCTATACTGCTAGTTTCTCGTACTTAAAGTTGTAACTTTAGTTCGATAGCACCAAGTCACACAGTATCTTTGAGTCAAAAGTAAATATTCATAACTCTAGTTGGTATAACTAGGGGTCGGTGTTGCCGACTAATAACCTTGCTCCGGTTGTTCCCGTGTCGTCGTTTTGTTTTCTCATCCCCGATTTTATTCTGTACTATGTACATGCTTGTCGCCTAGTGTTACATGTATCAAAGGGACAATATCAACTCAACATCGAAATACAATAACAATTTGGCCTTCACGTTGTGTTTCTGTACTTCAGTGAGCAAATGAACCTGAATAAGTAATCCGAATCATACTACTTGCGCAACCTTTTGCAGCTGTGCGCGGCTGAGCTGGCAAAGGGTAGCTTCATCGGTGTCGGTTGACGATGGATGGGACATTTCGTTGTTGGATGTATCTCATGTTGGCTGATTAATGGTCTTTCGTTTTGCGCAGTGTAGGATTTAATGTATCATGTTCGTCACTTCAAGGTACATGCAGAGTTGATTGGTTCAAGCCGAGATCTCGGATAGAGATCAATAGAGACAAATAACTAAGTACGACATACTCGATATTTTGGTCGTTGACGGTCTGGATATTGATGCTCAAAACCAATCTTCGATGTCCAATGCTATTCATCATGATAAAGGTCGAAGAGATGTTGCCGCATCCTGTTCTTATTCCCATCGAATCTCACACAGTACATGGCCTCGCAAACGTGCGAACCTCAATAGTCACACGGCAATAGCTGGATGGATTTAGCAGTGTCAACAAGATTCTAAATGATTTAAAACACTGTAGGTGTTACGCTGTAATGAGAACTCATGTCACCGTCATCGCAAACTATCAACAGCGCATCGCAATTTATTGCGGTGCGCTGTTGATTATTGGGGTGTCAGACAGTCGCGATGGTCACGTGAATATGTTGTGTTGTTTACAACCACAGGTCACGCTACATTTATATGACCTTGCTCCGCAAGGTAATGATGAGTCAGCAAGAGCTGCGTATGGCTCATGGGTCAGGTGACCCTTGATGACTCAGCTAGACAAGAGTGAGAAATGATTACATATTGTGTACATATGTTTGTAAAATCTGTGGCTAATGACTTGATTGGTAGCATAATTACATAGGACGCGTGTTTAGCGATTTGTAAGCTTTCCCACAGGGTAATCTTATGCAAACATATTTTTCACAGTCACCTGATATGTGTGAGAATCTGTCTGAGTCACCCTCATGGCTGACTAAGCAAAACTCATCGCAGGAATAAATGTACAAAAATATTCAATCCGCTCGCGTACAAACTTGTAAAAGTGAAAAAAAGCGAAAAATATTCCCTTAGCCTCAGTCTGACTTCAGGTCACAGGGAAAATGATTTCATAGTGATTTCTAGAGCATAGGGGCTCATAGGAGAGTATCAGTCATCCATGCACCGAACCAGTTTGGTGCAGGTCAGCGTCCGGTATGAAATTATTGGCGAAGGATGTCCATACACGCTGGTGACATGACGACGCTGAAAGTAACGCGCGGCGATGTACGATGCCACCTGGAGATTAGGTATTGCAGCTGAGCCAAGCGCTAGCGACCCAACCGCAACGTGCCATATAGAGGACATAAAGTCGCGATGCATTGTGTTGGACTTGGTGAGGTCCCCGAGAAGGGCCGAAGGCGGTAAGCGGACGTGATTGAAGCTTGTGAGTGCATGGTTGACGGGGGACGAGCCTCCTCTAGGTGGTAGCAACCTAGTAGTCATGGAAAAATCAGTTTGAAATCGATGGAACAAATTTAAAGAAGCACTCACATTGAAGTCACCCCGTTGCACATATCATATCTGTCGTTCAGATTCACAAGAAACGGTCGAGGTCCACGGCATTCACCGTCCACGTACAGTTGTGCAAAAACAATGGCGACACATGGAAGACCTTTCACTGGAACGGTTGGTGGCATGAACCTGCGCTACCATGATTAGCAGCTCTCGAGGATATACTGATCTCGTACTTGGCATCCGAGGGCAACGGCGTATGAAGATCGAATTCACCTGTTGGGAGAAGTGTCGCTGATGTCTTCATTCGGAAGATGTCTAGGCCTCTCCCCAGCTCGGTAAGGCAGAATTGGCCACTGCAAAAAGATCATGTAGTCTTTCCACAAAATATACATCAAGGTTGGCTCACCTGACATTCCATCGAAGAATGTCCTCGACGAGGGAGACCAAGTCAGGTCTAGTAGTCGCAGCATATTTGGCAAGTGTTCCTGCAACCAGATTGTACTGGATGGTCAGCAGCATGGAGGCGGCCCCATCGAGGACCATGATTGGGTCGGTGTGCATGTCCCAAAAATTTTGTGTTAGATGCAAAGTATCATGAAGAGTGATGCCTGAAATATAATGTCAAGACGTGTCCTGTGAACAGAAAAGGTTGATATGCACCGAGTGCTAAGCCAATGGCTTTGGCCCTCTCATATGAAAGATCCACTTGAGCATCACGGCTAAGGAGCTTGGAGCGTTTTTTGAATATATCTGACTGACAAAGCTGCGACATGGATGTCATGATGAAGCAACTCGGAGTGGGGGTACAAAGTATGATACTGTAGTTTCTTCGACTCTCGTCCGTTATATACTAGATAGTGTCACTGCCCACGTACCGTATTGATAAACATGCATGCGAAGGACGCCACACCAGTTTAGTTGTTATTGCTCGACAATTGCCACGTTCATATGTACGAGCCTGAGGTTACAAGAAGCGAACATGAAACTTTGAATTCAGTTCAAGTTGGGTACGTGTAGTGGCATCAGGGAAACGTAATTCATTACACATGATTACAGAGTGCTATGAAGCACTCCGTAGCACTCTGTAGCACAATCTAACCCGCTGATGCCCCTAGAGAAGTCAAGTTGGTCAACACATGTCACTGAGAACCTGTTAGCTCACTGAGACGGTGTTCATAAACACTGATATTAGTTTTTGCTGCGGATAGGTCTGTTCCACCAATCGCGTAGTAGGGATTTTTTCCTGAAGTACTCAGATCTGGTAAAAATGTCAACACGCTCGGTATTTATCAAATGTCGCACGCACTACCATGACATATCTCCCAGAGTACTGAGTAGCTTGGGTGTGAGAGTTTGGAGATGTGATTTCTTGTACATATCACATCACCTTGAATATGCCCACTCGCCCGATAGCTTCGTGTGAAAGATTGACACTGCAGACCGGTCGCTGCACGTTTACACTCCATGAACGTATATGTGCATGATGAGCACTACATACTGTCTGTAAATTCCAGTATCTGAAAAAGGTATAACTTCAAAAAAAGTTGTTAGTCCTGTTACAGTCGACTCCCTCCTAACGCATACCAGGTATAACCCATACTCCCTCATAGGACATACATTTTTGGATTTCCCGAGTTGGTTTGTGGGGATTTTGTGAGCATAACCCATACTTTGGGTCGGATGATGCCGATGTAGCACCAAATTAGGAAAATATATCATGTAATCCGTATCTCAGGATGACAACAATGGGTCCGGGACTCTGAAATATCAACTTCTTTGTCATTATTTGTCCATCTAACGGATGCCACGAACAACCCCAGTGACTGCACATGCCGAGACACTTGTTAAAAATGCCTTGGATGATCTCGAGGCAACCGGCACTTTCCAATCTTCGAATCAGATGGATATTGCAGGACTTCTGAACCCGGCAGAATTGAGACCACTAACATTTTCAATGCAACGGATGAGGATACCTTAGAGTCTGTGATGGGTGCGAAGAGGTAACCAGGTTGCGGGAGAAGGCTGCTGGAGGCAATGACGACAACAACGACTCAGATATTGATGTGCCTGCGCCAGGCCCGACACATTGTGAAGCGCAGAGAAACTGTGCTACAGGCTATCTTAACATTGAGGAAATACCTTGGGACCTTCGACGAACCATTTGCATGCAAGCTCGAGGTGATGTTAGGGTCGTTTGGACAGCAGACTCTTGCAGTGAAATGCAGGGCATGAAGGACACAATGTTGACTGATTATTTTTCTCGTAAATAGCTTGATAGTACCTACTAGAGCAATATATACTAATGTCAGCAAGTACAAATTTTGTGTCTTCGGAGCAGTGCAATATGGCTCTCTTGGATACCCCATACTCTCTGATAAGCCATACTTTTGGGGCTATCCCGAGAGGTATGCGTTAGGAGGGAGTCGACTGTACTTACCATTCGGTGACCAAGCCCAAGGTGGGCAAAAACTACTAGGTGCCAGTAGTGCAACGTAAGAACATAATGAAAAGACTTCTGATCAGAATTGGTGAGTAGTCACTAGTAGCACCAGAGTCAGCATTAAATACTACCGTCCTGACTGTTCCTTTAAGTCAATACACAATAAAGGTTTTCAATTGACTAAAATCTTACAAATCGCAGGCAAACATAAGCCTTTGGTAGTTCCACGGTATCAAATAACCAGGTCACGAGTCTCCCTCGTACCTCAAACCTAGAACGGGCAGCATGGCACTTACTATCACTCAATGATTCTGTGACTATCGTACTTGATAACGGAAATGAAAATGTCAGGGGCGAGGGGTGCAGTGCGCATAGATTGCGCACTTTATTACCACTGGCAATTAGTACTAAATAATGGGCAGGCATAATAAGTAGACTAGTGCTAGACAATATCATGCGCCATCAGCGGGTTAGATCGTGCTACAGAGTGCTACGGAGCGCTTCGTAGCACTCTGTAATCATGTGTAATGAATTACGTTTCCCTGATCAGTGGTCAGTTATCACCAACAATTTTGGGGTAGTGCAGTCACAGCGCAAACCAGCAAAATGCGCGATTTCGAAGGCAGGGATCCGAGAGGCAGGAAAGATATACCCGAACATAGATAGAAATATCCACAAGTAAATGAAGTTCTGACCGACTTGATCTAACCGCACTGATATCCAAATAGGTCCTGAGAGCTTCGTGCCGGCCTTAGTGAGACGCCCGTAGTGGATAGAGTCTGCGACGTTGTTGGATTGTCCATATGTCGAGGGAAGACGGCTCAAGATCGAATTGAACGTTGATGTCGACTACTACGCTGTCTAACATAAACCAAACATGCACAAATAAGGGCGCCGGTTTCGATAGACATCGTATCTGAATATTGAATGAGTGTCCGGCTGGACAGTTCAGGTGTGGGATATAAAACTGACAAGGCATCGGTTTCCCCTCTCCAAGGGCACACCGACTATGTTCTGTCAGTCGCAATCTTGCCGGACAGAAACTGTACCGTGGGGTAGTGCTTCCCCAAGGAATGAATGTGCTCAACCGTAAGCGTCGATGCGGTGACTCTCCGTCTGTTGGAGCTGATGTATGTAGGTTACTTATAGGAAGTGAAAGTGCACGGAGGGATTGGGGGTAAAACTGGGCAGAATTCAGAAGCGATGGACGCTTATCTTATAAGGGAATGACGCGAATGTGACAAAACAGCGCAGAACACGTACGCGCGACTGTGATGAAAAGAATTCAATGAGGAAGTATGCGCTTACCGAGCAGCGCACATGAGTTTAGGGACTTGTGTTTCCCACTCTGTTGGGAGCCGATCTAATACTTTGCTATCGGGTACCACGATGGCATCTGATTTTCAATCCGGTATTCTCTGAATCGAAATTACAGAAAAGACAGCTTTAGGCAGCGGTCGTTAACAACCATGACATACTCATATCCATACACACCTACAACGCTCCGGGCGACCATGAAACCGCGTCCATGGGTGCCATTCAAGCCTCATGAAGGGCCCGTCAAAGTCCCGCCCCTGCCCTTCAAGCCCAGGTCCGACGACTTACTCGGTGTCTACAACATCAGCACGCATGTCATACCTGCAGCTAATCCCAGAGTCACACCAAATATTCCAGTTCCCGGGCCACCTCCTCGCTCTTCGAAAAGGCCCGAGAGGGATATCAAGAAACTAGGGCTTGAACTCATGGAACAACAGGCCCAACAGGGAGAGGACGGCTATTCTGGGGCCACGGACGAAAGGCTGCTGTGGAATTGTGTCAACCGATATGTGAAAAAGGATAGGGAGGACAAAGTTAGAGCGAAGGGGATCACTTTATTCCTCGTGCACGCAACGGGTTTTCCGAAAGAAGTGAGTCTTGTGGTGCCTGTTCATGCGTACTACTAGGAATCTAATCTAATCGTGTTTTAGATATGGGAGACCACCCTGTGCTATCTACTACCTGCCTGTGGTGTCATAGACGAGATATGGTCATGGGAGTCCGTGCAACATGGGGACTCTGCTTTGTTAAACCGACAGAATCTCAGTGGTAGCTGTGAGATGCAGTTTCTCAGACCTCCCGCTTGGATTTAATCGAGAACAGTTGATTGGACTGACAATGCGAGAGACATTGCAAACTTTCTCGTCAACTATATGCCAGAAGAGGTAGAAACATCTCTCCCCATTCAACTTCATCGACTTCCTGCATCCATCGGTGAATCACGTCAAAAGAGTGGTTTCTCCTCCAGGACCTTGGTCGTGGTAGGACACTCGTTTGGAGGTTGCTCAGTGTATGTTATTGGCTATTCACAGACCTGTCGAATCTCACAATATTGCACAGGACGTTCACTGCACTGCATTTCCCTGCCCTGTTCTCCTCGATGATCCTCATCGACGCGATGATTGATACTTACCAAGGATTTGCGTGGGAACACACGCAGTACTTGGTTGGGGCTTCTTCCATAAGGCGCGATCAATGGCCATCACGGTGATTAAAGTTTCATTATACTCTTGTGTCGGAGTACTACTGACTATAATTGCAGAGAGGACGCTCTGCGTTCCTTTAAATCTTCACCCATGTTCTCCGCTTGGCATCCTGACGTCCTTCAGCTCTATGTTGACTTCGGACTGTACGAGGATGATAGCGGAGGCGTCAGATTGAAAACGCCCCCCGTTCACGAGGCCATTGTTCTTGCGAACCCACGAACTAGCCGTGAAACCTGGGAATTGATGGAAACGCTTGACGAAAATATTGAGCTACTGTGGATTCTTCCCGGAAAACCAAGCCAGGATGTGTAAGCCAAGACAGCAGGACGAAGTTCGCTTACTGATAGGCGTTATCCGACAGGTCGATGCTAGTGGAAGTAAGGAAGCAGCGTGCTTGGCGCAGACCCGCAAATTCATCCAACACGATCTTCAAGTCGTCTAGCCATCTCGTCTGTATCTCGTCTCCAATTGTCTATATGACTAACGTAATTGTGGCTTAGATTCCTCAGGAGTCTCCAGAAGAACTTGGTATGTTGACATAAAGGATTAATCGTTTGCCATCTAAGTGTTCACACAGCACGAGTCATCGCCGACTTTCTGCACAGAAAATATGTTATTTCCTCAGGGAAATCCAAGCTCTAGAATCGTGTATAAGAATGAGCCGGAAATTTTAGGAACCATCACGCGGTACTTAAACTGTGACTATGCCCTAGATAGTATCACATAGAGCATGACATTGGTATTTTCCAGACACTGAAAGTAAATGGGGAGAAAAACGAATCACTAGCTAATTATGAGTAACGTTATGAGCAACCGTCGCCAAAGATCCATCATATTTTATGGAAGGTCGTAGGGACCCAGAACTTCAAATTCGAGCTCGCTCCAAAACTAAAGTCGCGCCGCTGGTACATCAGCCTGAGTGAAGCTATAGACATGCAACGTCTTCCTAAATTCCTCCCAGCACTTGTCCGATATGATGGGTGGTTGGACAGCCGATTATATTCGAAGAGACCTTGGGCCCCAAGCCTTTCAGACGGTGCGTAATTTCCAACTTGTGCATGCTGAAGCATGACTGCTTTACAGCAAGCCGCGATGCCATGCCGCACACGAACATCAAGATTCTTGTCCATGAACCGTTCGATGGCCCATTTGTAAAGCGTTCTTAGAACGAATGCCTGAGCGATGGCATGTAGTAAGGGGAGCTGTTGCGTCCGGTATGAAATTATTGGCAAAGGATGTCCATACACGCTGATGACATGACGACGCTGAAAGTAACGCGCGGCGATGTACGATGCCACCTGAAGATTAGGTATTGCAATTGAGCCAAGCGCTAGCGACCCAACCGCAACGCGCCATATAGACGACGTAAAGTCACGATGTATTTTGTTGGACTTGTCGAGATACCCGAGAAGGGCCGAAGGCGGTAAGCGGACGTGATTGAAGCTTGTGAGCGCATGGTTGACGGGGACCGAGCCTCCTCTAGGTGGTAGTAACCTAGTAGTTATATACAAATAAGTTTGAAATCGGTGAAATAATTTAAAGGGGCACTGGCCCTCCCGTATGAAAGATCCACTCGAGCATCGCGGCTGAGGAGCTCGGAGCGTTTTTTGAATAGATCTTATTGACAAAGCTGCAACGTGGATATCATCATGGAACGACTCGGAGTGGTGGAACAAAGTATGTTACCTTGGTCTCTCCGACTCTCGTCTGTTATATATTAGATAGTCAGTGCCCACGTACCCTTTATAAGAACGTAATAAAATCTGATAATTGGTAGTCCTTGCTTGCTGAGTGATGAACGAGGTCTTCATCTCTGCTATAACTGAACTAATGCTCGTACCTTGCTGTAGGAGCCGAACAATTTTGTGATAAGAGGCCCATCACCAGATTTTGCTTTGCCTCATGCGATTTCGTCCAGGATATGGGTCAGTTATATATATATAATCGTGATCCAGTTCATGATGGGCCATCCGGCTAGACTACGTTGGTGTCATCCCTACCCCAATAGTGAGCACACCAAACTCGGCCTCGTTGCTAGGCCAGCTGACATGCTCACAACGAGTCTAGTGCCTCAAAGCTTGGTGTGAGTGCGTGCACGTGTCAGTGAACTGCTGAAATTCGACATGATTCATGAAGTATCGACCTGTGGAAAGAAATAAGCACAACACACGTCTTTTCAGTGATGGAATTTTTTTGCGTTCGACGGGTCAGAGCCCTCTCGCCACTAACCTGGTGTTGAGTACTTCTTTGCTGTGGCCACCCTACTTGATAACGGAAATGAAAGGTTCAGTGGGAAAGAAAAGTAAAATGGGTAAGAGGTGCAGTACTGATACTTACTAAATAATGTGATTGAGCAGGCGTAATAGACGCTGGTGCTAAATAATATTTGGTCAGTTATCACCAAAAGCTATAGAGTAGTGCAATTCCAGCGCAAACCTGTGAAATGCGTGATTTCGAAGGCAGTCGGATGTGAGAGGCACCTGCATAGGCTCAGGTTTCGTCGTTCTTCCCCGGTCTCTTGTTGCCTCCTTGCTATCTTAATTTCTGTTTTACTTGTTTTTCTTTTTCTTTTGCTATTGTCTTTTCTTCGTCAGTGTCTCTCCTTCGTTACTGTTTTTACTACCACTCTCGTTGCTGATGTGGCTAGTGTTGCTGCGAAGTGAACTGAAGCGAATCGCGGCGAAAATTACAACTCCGACCATCGAGTCTCTTCGGAACAACGAAGTCAACTAAAAGTCCGAAGTGTGAGACTTCGGTTGACGTCATTGACATCGAACATCAGCAAAAGACCCATAATTTTCGCTTGTCAAAAAGAAGTTTGATGCTTACGGTGAGCTTACGGCGCTGCTAATGGAGCAACGCGATTGGTGGAACAGATTTTTCCGTAGTTCCGTAGTTTACAATGAATATCTCGATATCGAACCATTAGTTTAAGGTATGCATTCCCAAACCCTAGGCTAGGACTACTCATAATTAGCAGTGAAATCGTGACAGCGATTGATACATGGATTCAAGACTATGTTGCTATTGTGAGCTACCGATTCTATGCGAACTCTGTACTCAACATGTTGAATTCTAGGCCCGCAGTGGGGGCCGAGGCACGAGGCCTCCGCGAGGTAGCATAGAATAATGTCTATGCCTAGGTGCCCAGGCTGTCCGCCCCTATGCACCAGCCCTGCTGACCACCGTCTCCTAAGATAAGGTGCAGTTAGGAGATGGGAGGGAAGGGTAAGTAAGACGGTTATGGGTCAGTAGCGGTTTCGACCTCGCGAAGGGTCTCGTCAGGGGGCTTACCGCTGCCCCAACCGCCTTACCTCTGTTTCTGTTTAGCTACGCTACCTCTAAGCCTTTTATGTAGAAAGGGAGTTGGCGCACAGACCCCAGAGATTAGGGCAGGTGGGAACAGTGTCCGTCTGTGGCACGACCCGATCTAGGGAGGTACTACGGATTGGGTTAGTGGATACTCGATGAGGATGCCTCTCATCAGGCGCTATGCCCTGGTAAGAGTATCTGGCTACGGCCAGACAAAAGTGGTTTCCCACGTGACTTCGGGACTTAAATCGCGCGCATGCATATGGCACCGTTTGACATAGATGATAACTCTCCTTATCTGCGAAATTGTTCAGAAAAAAACGGTCATAGCTCTCCAAACAAATGGCCGAAGAAATCTTTTCATCTGCCTTTTCACCATATTCTGGGATTAACTCAACAGCGTGCGTTACGCTTGTCAATGGAACCACACCACCACATCTGTGTTTACCATGTTGGTCTTCCACATATGAACGCTCTACTGTCCACATCGCGAGTTCAGGGTGGTCATTAGGACTGGCAACAAAGTGATAATACTGAATGTAGAGGAGCGGGCAGGATAGATATGATGGCAAGACCAGGTTAGAAGCACGCGGAAGATTCGGCTGAAAAACAAGTCGAACTTGTGCAACACGACTTGCTGAATATGATATATAATCTCGTTAGTATGAGAACATGAACAAAAGAATAGACATACTGATTTGGCCATCGTCGCCTGTGATGTCAACGAGAACATTATCGCAGTTTCCGAGGGGGAAACTTTCACCAGGTGGATATGCCTGTACCACTCTGCTTGGCATGATCAGCTGTGGCTGGAAGGCAGAATGAAGTTGCAGTCGAAATTTTTTCCACGCGCTAAAGCGCCCGTATCTGTGGTCCCAGCGGGTATGCTCACCGGTGGAGAGAGAAAAACATCTGATGAACTGAGAGAGTGCATGATCAAAATCAATGAGCGAATATATGCTATGAATACCGGTCGGTGACAAAGATTTGAAATCCGGTGTCAACGTCAAATGGAAGGCAGTGAGGGCATCTCCGGAAAGAATGCCCTTGAGGAAATGGTTACGAACTGGTCGAGGTCCATGAACAGAGTGCGTTTCGTCAGGGAGAACACGAGAAACCCAGGAGAGCGCTGGATTGACAATTGTCACTGTACAAAGAGATCTTTGCAGTGAGTAATGAGCAAACGCTCCGTCATATCCGCCGAAAACTGCATCAAAGTGCCCAGTCTCTCGACTGTGCCTCTAAAACTTTGTAGCAGTTCGAGTTTGGGAATGAAAAAATCTTCCTTAGAACCCTTCTTTCCCCTCCTCACCTTGGCCTCAATGATAGCGTCTTTGAATGCGTGAAAGTCTGAAAGAGCCTGCGTCATTGACAGCAGGGTGTCTGCAGAATGAACCGGATTTTGGGCAAGATAAATGAACTCAATGAGGGCACGAAGTGCGCGGATAAATCTAGGTGGAGCAGCACCTGCAATTGAAGCAACAATGGTGCGCTGGATATCCCGATGCTCACGACCTGTCATTTGGTTGACGTGTGTGATGCCTTTGGTGAAGTGACGTGTCCCCACCCGCTTGTGCTGAGTAATGAAGCGAGCATCGAGCTCGGGTTTTCCTACTACCTCCTTGGTCCAGTTGAGCGGATGGTCAGCAAAAAATTTGAGGCAGGTATGCAAGATCTCGCCAGCGAGAAAGACAGATGGGCACGCAAACATCCAATCACGCCAATATGGCATGTGAACTCCAGATAGATTGACCACTTTGGCTGCCTTCTGGAATTTGTCGAGATCCCAAACATCGATTGTTTTGGAGATCTCGCAGATAAGTTGTAGCGTATGTTGCCCAGTACGAGGAGGGTAGAGAACTCCATCACCAAAATTTTCTTGTAATGCCATCGTTAAAGGAGACGCATTTTTGCTGACCGTAGCTATCATGCAAGCCTCTGGCAGGTCACATACGTGAGCGACGAGGGGCGTAAAGGCATAACGAATGAGTTTGGAAGGATCAGTCATAAAGCAACCTGTCTTGGCTGCCAGTTTGAGGTTGGCGCAGACAAGATCAACACACTTATGCCACAACCGCGCCTGAAAAATGGTTTGATAATCGGGATGCACACAAAACTTAGCAATGGGCATGTAAGTGATACAGCGCCAAGCTCGGAGTGTGGCCTTAGAGCGAACTTCTGAATCAAGATTACCGATAGTGATGAAGATGGGGTGCATCTCGAGCCCTCCGGTGGTTCTCGTCACGGGAGTTTTATCAGACCCTAAGATGATTGGAACTTGTGTGGCGCCTAATGGGAGACAGTCCTACATGAAATCAATCTTTGAGTCGTAGACTAAGCAAGGAAAACTGACCTGAATTTTCCATGCCAAATCGGCGCTCATATAATCTCCATACTCGCGCTGTGTTACGACAAAGCAGTCGTGTGCGACTTGGATGGTTCTAACAGCGACAACTACGACAGTAGTACCAAGTGCTGAGAGTCGTCGGCCTCTGGAGACAACCAAAGGTTGCGTACGCTGGCGTAGCTTGCTGTTTGACGAGGGTATGAGGCTCGTCGATGAGCAAGGGGTTACGTAGCGATGATAGCGAAGCTATGTCGAGCAGGTAGCTTTAGCAGGACAGGGAGTTCAAGGGAAAACCAAGTAAGATTAAAGTAAGGAGCATCTACTTTAATCCTCGTCCTTATATAAGGCTACTCTATCGTATCTAAGCTCAGCTTGAAGCTGGGTTCTAGTCTGCTTATCTATCGAGTCAGAGATACCATGCATGAGGCAGGCTTCTATCTAAGATAGGACCACGAGGTGTCCTTCTATCAGTACATGAGGCAACACGAGGCTTGCCTTCTATCTTGATAACATAAATAGGTCTTCTAGACCTATGTCGTCATATGCGGTCCAGACCGCTTACTAAGCTGGCATCTTCCGGACTTCTCTTCTGTGTTCTATCATCAGGGCGCCTGAGGCCCGGGTATCGTGTCGTTGCCGTGCAAGGTGGCAGAGGGCAGAGGTGGCGGAGGGGACTCATGTCACGTGTTGTAACATGTGCTGTAACATTACCCCATTACTACCGTTGAAGTCACCGACTTCAAATATCTTCAGTATCTTCTTCTTCCATAGTCGCGGTGAGCGCGGGTGGTGCCGACATGGAGGGTAATTCTGGTGGGTAAGAAGGCGAGCGCGGAGCGGGGTTCTTGAGTATCAGCTCTTCAAGCGCAACATGGTTCTTCTCCCATTCTAAGAGAGCTTCAAAGAACTTCTCTTCGTCTCGGAACTCTTGGAGTACGATCTGTCCATTGAGTCGAGGGCAATGGACCGCTAGATGGTTTGGTCCAAGTTCACTGCATACGCAGCAAACATAATCGGGACACTTTCTGAATGTGTGTCCATATCCTCCGCAGCGTAAGCATAGAGGCTTGCGGGTTCGATCAATGGTGGCCGCCTTTCTTCTCAGCGGGCGCACCAGGCGAGGTTCTTCTTCTACATTGGGTTTTATCTCGACGTTCTTCATGGCTATGTCCAAGACATCATGAAAGTTGAAAGGGAGGAGGTTGAGCGCCAATGATCGGATTCGTCTCTGTAAATGCAACATGGCAAGTTTCTTCGTGTCTGCATTAAGGTCATCACGATTGGCTACATCTTCCAGTAGCTTCGTGGTTTGAACTATGCGCACCACAAGCGAGGTGGCTGCTGCATGTTTGCAATCGGTATCTCCAAGGATCTTGTCTATCTCTTGGGAGTATCCGTTCGTCAAGATAGCGGCTTCGGCAAGCGCGCCGTCTTCTATTGTTCTGAGGATGCATCCGTAATCGGAGTCCTTCAGTGCGACCGTGATGGGAGAGTTTTCTTCGCTAGAGTTCGTCATGATGGGAGTTTCTGGAGGAGAGATGTTCGCGGATAGAGGGAGTTTATAACTTTCTTCCAGATCAATCCAAGCTCCGCTTCATTTCTTATCTTTTGTTTCTTAACTCTTTATCTCCTATCAAGGTTCAATCGTGAGGGCTTATCGATGCCTCGTTTTCGCTATCAGAGGGAAGTGCCGTGATAGGTACGTTCTTTCCTATATCCTTTGTTGGTTATCAAGGTTCAGGAGTCCTCATCAGAGGGTGATAGTCATTGCCGTGATGGGTCGGGTTCTTGAGGGTTCCGCGGGCTTGCAGGAGTTTCCAGGGAGTTCATCTCTTGATAGTTTAGGCTCATTCCGGAGGTTCGTCCTTTCTTCTATCTTTTGTTCATTAAACATCTGATATGGAAGGTTCTAGGGGTCCAGTCGTAGGTGTCAAGGCTTGCAGGAGTTTCTTGGGGTCGTCTAGCTGGGGATCGTGGATAAGGGTGCCCAAAGCTTGCAGGAGTTTTCTGGGGTTCATCCTTTCTCCTAGTTTTACGTCATTACGGACATTCGTGCAGTTTAGCCCTCATGCCGGAGGTTCTCTAGTTTTCGGTCATTGCGGACCAACGTATGAGTTGGTCGGAGTCGTGTCGTGAAAGGGATATGTCGGGGTCAGGATCGTGGAACGACGAGAATAAATCAGGGATTTTACCCCCTCAATAAGTCGTTTAGTCTACCATGACTAATCTGCTTTCAAAAGTCGAGGCCGTCATCAGGGCCTTCGTCGTCGATCTCGTTTCCTTCTTCATCGACCATTCGCAGGGCATGCGAAGTGGGTACATCATCGTCTTCGTCCTCATCGTCGTCCTCATAGTTTTCCATATCCGTGAATCGGATAAAACTTGGTCCGGTGTCTTCTTCTTCTTTTACTCTTATTCCAGTTAGGTCTTGGTTCAAGATCTTCTGGCGATGCGCGTCTCGGATAAGCACAATTCGGTCCAGGAACATATCATGTTCAGAATCTGGGGCGGGAGTAGGTTCTGGATCGGATGATAGCGTCATTGCTTCATCGTTATAGGAAGGGACAGGTACAGGGGTGACCGTGAGGTTGAGGGAATTCGGTGCGTGGATTTCATCGGCTGTGTCGGTATCATCAGCCGGACTTTCATAAGACCTGAGTCTCTTGGCTCCAGGTGCTTCTGCCGTTTGGACGGCTCTTCCTTTTCCGAGAACAGATATCGGTTCTCCGGAAAATTCAAATCTCTGAGTTTTCTCTGGTTCAGGGGCCAGTCTGGGTGCCTTTGCGATAGGCGGTTCTTCAGTCATCATTGCGCGTCCTTTTCCGAGGATCTGCGCGGGCTCTGCCGAGAATTCATATCGGGCAGGTTCGGGGTCTTCTTTCATCAGCTCAACAGCTGGTACAATCTTCATCGGCTGAACAGCCGGTACGATCATCTTCTTCTTCGGCTGCTCGGGAGTGATATGGTCAAATATCGAAGCCGGTTTGGAAGTCTTCTTCTGAGTTGTCTCCGGATCAGCGGCCGGTCTTCTCTTATCAAATCCCCTGGCTGCAAGGTCAATTCTTGGCAGCGAGTTCTTCTTCGTCACGGTTTCAGGCCGTGGTACAATCGTCGGGAATTTAACGGATGGCGGGTTTCCGTTCTGCGGCTCCTCAGGGACCGGTACAATCTGGGTTGTCGGTGCCAAGCTCGTAGAGGCTGTGGCATAAGAGAAGGCGCGGGGAGTTGTCGGGGAAACCGATCGTTTTCTCTTCTTTGCTACCTTCTTTTCTTCTTTCAGGAAGAGTGGCATTTTGCCGTTCTTCTTCCTATCGGAGTCAATCTCCTTTTCGCTCCTTCGGGAATCTACGGTGCTTTTCAGAGTCACCGTGCCGTTCGTCCAGTTGATCATGGGGTTATTGGCAATAAGCCAAGGTTGTCCAAGCAAGAACTTGTCTTTTGGACCAAGTTCGGCAAGGTAAAACTGTTCTGTTATTACCCGTTCATCGATTTGGAAGATGAGGTTGCAATACCTCTCCAAGGGCTTCTTTCCGAAGCAGGATCCGTCAGCATTAGAGAGTTCGATGGGTTTCTCTAGCTGGTGCGACGAGATGTGGTACTGCGTGATGACGTCCTGGTTGACAAAGGACACACACGCTCCTGAATCTACGATCATGGATGTCGTGATGGGAGTGTTTCTCGTTCTGGATACTAGGGTGGCCTTTACCCCTAGTTCTTTTGTCTTCCCACTCGTTCTGATGGAACGTAGCTGGGGTTCTTCATTCGTCTTTCTCCGCGGGGTTCTGGACCACTGAGGGCAATCCGCGGCTTTGTGTCCGATGACGTGGCACACAAAACATTTCTTCTCTCGCAAGCAGAGGCGAGTTTCCTTTCCGGTGAGGTGCGCAGCGGCAAAGGTGTTTCTGGTGGTAGTTGCCATATCGGAGATGGTTCTATCCGTTCTTCGTAGTGTTCCTGCAGGAAGTCTTCTACTGTGACAGCGGTTCTTATATTCTTGCGACTGGTCAGGCCGGTACGATCAGGGATTCTAGAAATCCTTCGGGGTTCTTTTCTACAAGCTTCAGTAACGTTGAAGGCAGGTACGATCAGGGATCTGGCGTCACAGGATAGGTGACGTGCGAATAGTGACTTTAATCTTTTGTTACGACAAAGCAGTCGTGTGCGACTTGGATGGTTCTAACAGCGACAACTACGACAGTAGTACCAAGTGCTGAGAGTCGTCGGCCTCTGGAGACAACCAAAGGTTGCGTACGCTGGCGTAGCTTGCTGTTTGACGAGGGTATGAGGCTCGTCGATGAGCAAGGGGTTACGTAGCGATGATAGCGAAGCTATGTCGAGCAGGTAGCTTTAGCAGGACAGGGAGTTCAAGGGAAAACCAAGTAAGATTAAAGTAAGGAGCATCTACTTTAATCCTCGTCCTTATATAAGGCTACTCTATCGTATCTAAGCTCAGCTTGAAGCTGGGTTCTAGTCTGCTTATCTATCGAGTCAGAGATACCATGCATGAGGCAGGCTTCTATCTAAGATAGGACCACGAGGTGTCCTTCTATCAGTACATGAGGCAACACGAGGCTTGCCTTCTATCTTGATAACATAAATAGGTCTTCTAGACCTATGTCGTCATATGCGGTCCAGACCGCTTACTAAGCTGGCATCTTCCGGACTTCTCTTCTGTGTTCTATCATCAGGGCGCCTGAGGCCCGGGTATCGTGTCGTTGCCGTGCAAGGTGGCAGAGGGCAGAGGTGGCGGAGGGGACTCATGTCACGTGTTGTAACATGTGCTGTAACACGCTGATTCCTAACATTGACTATGTGTGGCTGAAAGGTAATATGATTGGCAAAAACGGGGTCGCTGAAAAGTTGTTTGACGACCTCTAAAGCATCGCGCCAAATGAGTTGGATGGGACGAATTGTCTTGTAGCCCGTAAACTCTAGATTTGAAACTTTCCATTGTGCAAAGCAGGGTAGAGCGTCCATCCAGTCCAGAAGTTGATCTTTTGAGGTGAAGGACGGTTTTGGGCGAGTGTTAAACTATCAAAGCAGAGTCAGACTTGCCGAATAGTACTTAGAGTCTCCTACCCATTTCAGCTTCAAGAACTTGTCAATCTGCGTCTGATTCAGGTTTTCGACCAAGAACATAGCTAGTTCCCACTCCCCTTCATCATGAAAGGGATAGTAAGTGTTTACCTTCCGCCGATAATTATACTGATCTTCCTGCAACCTGTCAAATAGGTTTTTGCCGAGACCAAAAACATATCCAGAGCGAGGATGAAAATGGCCAGTGGTATCAGATGTCGATGGATGTGAACCTCGCAACCCAGGAGGAACGGGCAATTGTTGTGGACGTGCTTCATGCGGCCAACAGGTAGACTGTGAATTAAGATGTAGAACGACTGCTTCGATGGAAGGGAACTCCCCACTGCAGTTGGGACACAACCTGGCAAAGGTATGTACACTGATAAGCATACTGGTAACAGTGAATGATACGCACATTTGCTTTGGGCAATGAACTCAGTGTTGCAGTCAGTCTAAGGAACTCCGAGCCTTTCGAACTCCGCTGCGTGCAATGCTGACTGTATTCACAATACCAGCCTACGATTGAAGCCCAGAGAGATATTAAGGCCAGAGACACTACGCTAGAGTGATGCAGTTTCCTCAACAATTTTCAGTCGCTCCTTCACCCAACATGTCCCCCTCACTTCCATCTTCATCTCCGACACAACACAGCAGTTGCCCCCCTCCATCGAGCAGTCCTCCATCGTCCCCTCTATCAGGATATTCTTCAACTTCCGGGTCACCTCTTTTCGTCTCAACTCAAATCTCAGGGAGCTCCCCTGATACCAGACATTCCGACCTATGTACTTCACTTAAAGGTATCTTCTCAGCGGAGAAGACACCACCACCTATGACTCCGGCTTCCGCAACCAAAGGCCTATTTTATAATCCATCCACATCTCTGGACCTTTCCCGCAATGCTCGACGTCAGTTCATACGTGAAAGGATGAACAGAAAGTTCGTTCCATACCCCCCCGACCCAGCTCCACTCGAGGTTCGTTTTGCAGCTCGTCTTCTGGGGCGAGAACGCAAACCATATGTATCTAGTGAATCTCTTGTCAAGGTATCATATATTTCTATTATCCAGTTCCAAAGACTCATCTATATTTTATAAAGCATGCTGTACACTTAGAAAATGGCCTCACGCAAATGCGTCCTTCAACACTGTACAAAGGATACCAAGCACAACTTGCTGCTCGTGAGACTGCGCGCCAGCGCATGCTGGCTACCGCATGGGAAATCGAAGAAGCTGAGCGCTTCATTGTGTTCCTCAATGCCATGCACGCCGACAACGAAGACCGGCTCAAATTTACGAACGATCAGTTACACAGCTTTAGGAGCCTTTTTTCTGAGCGTGACTGCACAGACGTTGACGATGATAGAGACTACCTTCAAGCGGTCTATGAGGATGAAAACGACATTCTTAAGGTCATCTCATCTCAAGCTGAGCATGTGGCGAAGGTTTTAGGCTCGCGTGTCAGCAAAGCTTTCCAATCTGGAGTTGGAGCATCCAGATTCCCTTCATTGCAACCTGGGGTTATTGATGATGAAGATGATAGCGCCAGCAAGGCATCTGTGAAATCTGGGGCCGATGGATCCGGATCCCCCACCGGCAGTGGGGTTCTTGATGACGAAGACGACCCCAAATATCTAGGAACTTATGCGGACTATACCGCAAACCTTGGCATTCGTCCCGAAGCCTCATGTGTGGGTGCCACAATGTGAGTTCCTATCGTGGTAAGTGGGGTACATGTGTCTGTTCATTATACCACGCTGATCTATTGATAAGGAATGTTGTAATACACGCGTCGTTCTTCCATCATGGCGCCTTTCCCGACTCTATTGGTTTGTCATATGCATACTGTTTTTTTACATCCTTACCCCTTCATTTCTCCGCTTCTTTAGCTCATGGTCACAAGTACATCACTGAGTCACAAGCTGTATAGTTTGTTTGCGTTGTTTGCGTGCTTCCATTTGTATTAGAGTTGTAATCGATGCACCCTTTGCCCTCCCCCCAAATGATTCTTCCTGGATGACTGGCAAACGTCCCCCACAGCGCAAAGGTAAAGCAAAGATTGCAAAACCTGCTCGAGGGTCCGGTCTAAACCCTTCCCATGTACCTGCGGACACGCAGATCAATCTCCCTGATGAACAGCCACAACCTCCAGCTCAAATGCCCAACTTCAATCCACATCAGCAGCAACACCCCCTAGACGCATACAACCAGTAAGTGCGCTTGTCTATCTTTCTATACACTAATACTCAAATCACTTGGTAGGCCGAGCCTGAGCCATTCAAACCCCTCAAGCGCCGGCTTCAACAGCTACCTGGATTCTTTCAGCGCCGGCCGTGCAAACCCAAGCTACCCAGATCCTCCAAACACATACAACTACCAAGGCGCCAGCTACAGTGGCAACTCGCTGTCTGGTGCTGGCTACACTAACTCGCTGTCTGGCACCGGCTACAGCGGCAACTTGCTGCCTGGCGCCGGCTACACTAACTCGCTGTCTGGCGCCGGCTATACCAACTCGCTGTCTGGTGCCAGCTACAACAACTCGTTGTCTGGCGCCGGCTACAGCAACTCGTTGTCTGGCGCTGCAAGCCCAGTGCCGGATCCAGTGCCCACACAACCTCCAATAGCACCGAACCACCTTACTGGACCCATACCTCATTGGTTGGGCGATGATGCTGACGCCGTGCGTGCACTGACTTACGATCCAACAGCAGATGAGATACCGAACTCGAACATTATACATGTAAGTCTTTCATACTATCTCATGACATGTTTTAACGTTGATAATAGACACTGGGTCCTGCAAGATCCTCCGAAAGACGCCGACGCTCTCGACGCATGCCCCCAACACCATCGTTGGAACCCTACTCAGTACCCTCACATCCAAGTCAGACGCACCCTCCTACTCCTACGGCCACTGCTGGCCCGTCCAATGCTGCATCATTGGCCGACGTTGTCGAGGTCACTACAGCAGCCCGTGAACAAGTCCATAACCACTCGAGGGAAATCATCAAAGGCATCGTTTTTTCCCCTGATGCAATTGCATCATCTTCTGCTGTTCAGAAGCGCCTCGTCAAGGAGGTTATTAGTAAGGCCGTGCCATCGGTTATAAGCCTTCGTGGTAAGTTTAGTGACGACTATTATAACTAATTATAACTAATATTGATTATATTGCAGGGCTGACTCGGCAGGCCATACTGTAAGAATGATACATTAAATACCTACAATTGTAGATGAAATGTGATACAATAATTACTGAAGTCCATAGATACCTATCATTGTAGGGCTGATATATCAATGGAGGATCCTGTCAGGACACTCCCATAATAATCTCACACCCCTAATTTTCGCATTTTTGACCACTTACTGTGGGAATTTCCCCACAACACTTAAAAATAGATTGCTTCTCCACATTTTCGCATTTTTAGCCACCCCACTACACCTAAAACATCACCCATTTTGGGAATCTCCACAATATCAATTATTCCCACACCCTCCCCACCTCACTGCAGCTTCACCACCACACCACAATAGGTCCCCTCTTGTATCTAAGTAGTAGTTTGGTATATATATGTACAATATAATGTAATAGACCGCTTTTTTTGCTTATTTGTGTGCCTGCTCCTCCTCTAGAGGCCATTTAACATATGTTAGAGTAAAGAACACTTTCGCACTTTTGCCCCTTTGGTGGGAAAGTGTTCTATTATATTCAAAACATGTTTATGAGCATATATGAGTATATTCCCATCTTTATTTGACCCCCTGAAGCGCCCTACATCAATAGATATAGCACATATGCAAGAAAACACAGAATATGTTCCTATTTAATTATTTCTAAGTGGACAGACTTGGAAAAATGATTCCCAGTATCTATTTAACAATATGAACAATGTATCAGGAGCCCAGGACCATGGGATAATTCCCTGTTGCATGGTGTGCCCCCCCTCTCCTGGTGGTTTACCCCCTGTGAAAATTTTTCCTGCAGGACCGGACCTTAATTGAGGTGAGGGGTCTATTTCTATGTATATTTGGAGTAGATCTATCATATAGCTGGCCCAGAACACACATAGGATCCTGCTACAAGAACAAAAACATAGAAAATCTCACTTTTGACACTTTTCATGTTTTTTAGTATCTTACTCTTGCATAAATAACCATCCCTGCTCACATATTATCAGTAGTACATTCACACATATGTTCTATGCCAAGGATCAGCCCTACATAGGGCGCAAATTTGATATCTGATGTACAGGAGGTATTTCTACTGATAGGAAACCTACAGAGTAATCCAGCCTGTGATAAGTGATCAGATACCTGGGATACCTCTTATATATGTCCCTAATGATGGACTTGAAGTTTTAGAAAGATCAGTGAAGGACTGACTGAATGACAAGTAAAATGACATATGTGTGAAAAGTGACAATTGACATCTTTTGACACAAAGTCACATTTATATATGGTATAGGGCAAATATTTCATTAAAAATATGTAGGATATATGATAGACTACTAAATGAACCTATGCTACATACTGCCCTGAGGTTAGAGGGTGATGGAAGGAATGTGATGTATATTTGAGTTGACCCAGCATTAAAGTCCTACTGCTGCCCAACTGACCATTTTCGATGTTTTGAGTCTTTGAACTTTCCCACACTCAATTTCTTATCTATTTCACTTCCTCAGCACTCAATTCTTGTTGGATTGTTTTGTAAATTTAGGTATATGATAGTGAATGTACTTTAAATCTACTCCAAGTGTCTGATTATTAAATTTCGATGTTTTGAAAGTATGGGCTCCTTATCAGTAGAAATACCTCCTGTACATCAGATATCAAATTTGCGCCCTATGTAGGGCTGATCCTTGGCATAGAACATATGTGTGAATGTACTACTGATAATATGTGAGCAGGGATGGTTATTTATGCAAGAGTAAGATACTAAAAAACATGAAAAGTGTCAAAAGTGAGATTTTCTATGTTTTTGTTCTTGTAGCAGGATCCTATGTGTGTTCTGGGCCAGCTATATGATAGATCTACTCCAAATATACATAGAAATAGACCCCTCACCTCAATTAAGGTCCGGTCCTGCAGGAAAAATTTTCACAGGGGGTAAACCACCAGGAGAGGGGGGGCACACCATGCAACAGGGAATTATCCCATGGTCCTGGGCTCCTGATACATTGTTCATATTGTTAAATAGATACTGGGAATCATTTTTCCAAGTCTGTCCACTTAGAAATAATTAAATAGGAACATATTCTGTGTTTTCTTGCATATGTGCTATATCTATTGATGTAGGGCGCTTCAGGGGGTCAAATAAAGATGGGAATATACTCATATATGCTCATAAACATGTTTTGAATATAATAGAACACTTTCCCACCAAAGGGGCAAAAGTGCGAAAGTGTTCTTTACTCTAACATATGTTAAATGGCCTCTAGAGGAGGAGCAGGCACACAAATAAGCAAAAAAAGCGGTCTATTACATTATATTGTACATATATATACCAAACTACTACTTAGATACAAGAGGGGACCTATTGTGGTGTGGTGGTGAAGCTGCAGTGAGGTGGGGAGGGTGTGGGAATAATTGATATTGTGGAGATTCCCAAAATGGGTGATGTTTTAGGTGTAGTGGGCAGGCCCCAGTGTCATATTGATGCAACATTTTGCTGCAGTTGCAAGGGATCCAGTGATGCAACAGTGCAGCGTGGATCCTCGGATAGCACTGATGCATTACTGATGCATTACTGATGCAATACTGATGCATCAGTAATGCATCAGCCATGCATTGCAGGTCGGCTCATTGCTTTCCCAGCCCATCACCCAACTACTTATAGTGTGCGCATATATTCATTTTCCTTTCTCCCTTTCTCCCTTACTTATCACTGCTTGTATTCTGTCAGTCCGAGTCACGATGTTCTGTTCCGTCTCGAGTCCAATTTTTCACGCGATGCAGGCTGATACTTGTAGCATGCGCATATATTCATTCTTTTCAAGTTTTCCCTTACTCGTATTCTTTCAATTCCTGCAAGTCTGAGTCATGCCGTTCTGTTCTGTCTTGCGTCCGATCTTAGCTTTTCCTTCGCGACAAGCTTTCACAATGCAAGAATAACTTCATTCACTAATCATAGACAGGATAAAGGTCTAGGGACCACATCTATTACATCTGTATAGCGTGAAAATTTATGATCAGAGCATGGATCAAACAGAGAACTTCATGGAGCCAACATAAAGCCAGTCGGCTCACGCCTTCGTTCGTCTTTTCCTGTTTCTGTTAGCGAGTGAGAATAGAGCAGGATTTTTCAGACATACTTTGTTGGAATCACACCTTCTGCAGTCGAGTCAGCAGTACGCTTCGATGATGTTCCCCCAACCTCCTCCAAAACACTTGGATTTTCCTTGCTACCAATACCAACGAATGTCATGCCATCTGACCCGATTGCGTCAGCAATATCATTCCGCCTGGATTTGATTGGAATGCGCTTCGATACACGTGCCGCTCCAATCTGACTCGCAGTAGCTTTTTGCACGATATTATTGATAGTAATCGAATCACCCAACGCGTTACCTTCATCATCTGCAGCGACGTGTGTTGTCTCCATTACTGCACTAGACTTGGTACTAACAGGATGTGCCTTGGGTTTGGGTTTGGGTTTGGGTTTGGGTTTGGCCTTGGGTTTGGCAGCGTTCGCAAGCGTGATCACAGGGATATGCTCAGTAGAATTGACCAGGGGAGTGAGTTTTGCTGTAGTGGGTGTGGCCGTAACAGTGGGAGTGTCTGTGATAAATTTGGCGGCAGAGCGAGGCTTGTCGGTGTGTGCTGTGAGAGACTTGGTTGTAGGAAGTTTCGACTTGGACTTGCGCTTGGACTTAGCACGTCCGGTACCAGCCTGTGAATCGGGAACTTCAGCAGGTTGTGCGGTCTCAGTCGGAGAAGGGGGGTTGGCAGCTGGAAGGGTGGGAAGCTGATAAGTAAATTGAGGAAGGTGCTCGTCAAGGCTAGGGCTCGTGGTACTGCGCTCAGCGGAGGTTGGAGAGGTCAACGAAGAAGACAGACTAGATGTCTCCCACCCTGTCGAATGAAGATTGTCATTGTTGAAATTCCACCCGTGCATGGTGTCAGCAAGCGAGAATCCCAAAGAAGCTGGTGAGCTGAATGATGTGTTCTGCACGGTACTGCTACCAAGATATCCCGTAGCCATAAGACCGGGCTGTAAAAATCGGGCCTCGAATGGTTCAATTGAGCCGAGAGGCGCACTAGCTTGAGGCATCATAACACTGTGCAAATCCAGTGACCAATCAGGATATTGGGACTATATCAGAAAATCGTCAGGTAACATAGTGGGAGTGACGGCGTGTAAGACTCTTACCTGAGAGTAGAATGGTCCCGTAAGCTGAAGTGATGCATCAGTGAAGCCAGCCGGTGCCAGCGCCACGGTGCCTGCCATTGATGCATCAGTTGTCGTTGATGCATCAGGTCCGGTTGATGCATCAGGTCCGGTTGATGCATCAGGTGTCTGCAAAATCGTATAAAGGCCGGGGTTATCCCAGCTCATGGTATCAGTACCTCCTTCGTTCTCCTCTCTGCTTTCATCCTCTTCGCCACTTTCATCCTCTTCGCCGCTACCATACTCTTCGAGTTCCTCACTCCTGTTGCCATCTCCGACGTTCGTGGTAGCTGGCAGCAAGGGTCATGTTCCTTCGCAGCTGACAAGTGTGTATCAATGCGAGCCCATAATGATAATGAGGAAATGACTTACAGAATATTGATTCTGCAAATTCCTGGTACGCACCGAGGAAGGCATAGTCCTCATCAGGGTACAAGTGGGCAAAATTGCGCCCACCAGAGGTTTCTGATGGATGGCACCTTAGTTGGAGGTAAGCACGTTAGTTATACTGCTGATTCGGTTCACTTACGATAAAGTAACTATGTTCTGATTATGCCTTGGGTCAGGTCCGGCGCACATGAAGGACACAATGAATTGAGTTTGTTTTTTGACGAGGCGTGCAAAGCGCTGGCATATGATTGGCAATTCGTCAATACCTCTGTAGGACATGTGAGTATGATTAAAACCAGGTACATCGACCGAAACACTTACTTTGCGATGGCATCAGGATCACTTTCATCGTTATCATCATCTTCGTCATCCAGTATGTCACCCTTTCCCTTGCTACCTTTTATCTGCTTGTCGTACCTCTTTCTAACCTCCTTCTTAACCTCGTCCGACTCATCTTCTAAGAGCTCCTTGGAGAACCTTCGACCCAATGCCATGCGGTGACCAGAAGTAGTCACATTGCCCGCTTCTTGTTCGGCCTTGACCAGGGGTTTGATCTGCTCGTCGTAGACCATGCCCATATAGATCTCTTCGACAGACTTTGCACGCGTCTTCAGTCGCAGGGCGGCATCAAAGACAGTCTGTTCCTTCTTCAAGCCGCGATTCTTTTTGGATGAACCCGCCCGCCAACGGAACCAGGTTGCCAGTTGCTACAAGTATTTTACTTTAGTTTACGATACAAAAAAAACACGTAGTCGACGACTTACAACTTTACGTTGCTCTTCAGCTTTAACTTCTTGTTTCGTCTGCTCAACAGTGAGCGACACGTCACCAGGGATGTCGGGGAACAGAATATTGCGCTCTGGCCATGTTTTGAACCAATATTTGTGTATGCCGGGCCAGAAGCAGGAGTAGTCCTTGTCCCCGGTGCTTTGCTGCATGTACTCTGGCATTTGTTCTTGGAGCCATGTATACTGCGCTTTGGTAGTCCACGAAGCTGCTGGCATTGTTGTGCGTGAATATGAAGGATGATGGGGAAATAATTCCCGTATGAAGTAGACGTCCATCCTTATATTATTCGCGAGTCAATACCGAGCGAATAAAAAAAAATAGAGCTATTTTGGTATCGACTTACCACATTGTCAAATTAGGAGAGGGTGGTATGGATGGAAACGACGGAAACAATGGTATCGGCACCGATTTGTGTTTTAGAATGACTAGTGATCAGGTAATGAGGGATGACGACACAATCTGAGTGTTGCGTACTACATACCGGGAGGTGTTAGCTGTGCCTGCACTAAGATTGATATCGGCTTCATATTGCCTCCAGTGGATCTTGAGATGAAGTTGGTAGACTGGCCATCGTTGCTGAGTGCACCGTTAGCCCATTGTTATTGTCCATGCAATCATGTAGACTAACCTATGACGATGATGGGATGTGACTTGAACCAACAATAAGTGTTCGGACAGAGCGTCGTGACAGTAATAAGCCTGAGTATACAATGTGGGATCAATCAACCAAAGACTCACCTAGACATCGAGTAATAAGTATACAATGTGGGATCAAACAACCAAAGACTCACCTAGACATCGAGAAATGAACATTAAGCAGTAGTTGAGTTTCGATGTGCTTATGTGTGTAGCCTACTTTAGAACGTCAAGTTAGCGTGTGGCAGTGTGATCAGTTTGCAGGTGTCACAGACTCTATCATAGCGCTGACTATTCTACATTTGTAAAACTCACTCACACATAGTACACACAGGTGAGACTCTACTGTGCTGGATCTGTTCAACTATTCTACACTCATAAAATGTTTCAAGGCTGCCAATGCTGGCAAATTTCTGTCTATTATTCTTGCTCTCATCCACCGGCCAGGCCTCAAAAAGATTCGAGGATTGGTTACTAACACTGGTAAGTTTCATTTCAATCCTTTTTGTTGCGACTCATCCACTGGCCAGGCCTCAAAAAGATTCGAGGATTGGTTACTAACGCTGGTAAGTTTCGTTTCAATCCTTTTTGTTGCGACTCATCCACTGGCCAGGCCTCAAAAAGATTCGAGGATTGGTTGCTAACGCTGGCAACTTTCAGTCCACCGGCCGGGCCTCAAAAAGATTCGAGGATTGGTTCCTAATGCTGGTAAGTTTTGATCCTTTTTGTCATAACTCATCCACCGGCCAGGCCTCAAAAGATTCGAGGATTGGTTGCTAACGCTGGCACCTTTCAATCCACTGGCCGGGCCTCAAAAAGATTCGAGGATTGGTTCCTAATGCTGGTAAGTTTTGATCCTTTTTGTCATAACTCATCCACCGGCCAGGCCTCAAAAAGATTCGAGGATTGGTTGCTAACGCTGGCACCTTTCAATCCACTGGCCGGGCCTCAAAAAGATTCGAGGATTGGTTCCTAATGCTGGTAAGTTTTGATCCTTTTTGTCATAACTCATCCACCGGCCAGGCCTCAAAAAGATTCGAGGATTGGTTGCTAACGCTGGCACCTTTCAATCCACCAGCCGGGCCTCAAAAAGATTCGAGGATTGGTTCCTAACGCTGGTAAGTTTTAATCCTTTTTGTCGCAACTCATCCACCAGCCGAGTCTTCTTATTTGCCCTTGTACTCTACTTGATTAGCACCTGCAACGTTGTAGTTGTCGCATCATGTCTAGATTTGATTGTATAGTACTAATATTTCTACAATACAAGAGTGTGTGTGTTTCGTCTGTATGTGTGAGTTTTGCGTGTAGAATAGTTGAACGTTAGAACCAGCGCCATAAGACTCAACTTGCAATTTACTTGAGTCTAGCTCATAATTTGATCGTTGTATGAGGTAGAACCCCGACATACATGCTCTGAATAATTAGCTACTGCTATACCATTGATTTTGAGTGAGACATGATTGGTGATCATCGGATATCAAGCAATTAGTAGTAAATCTCCCAAAGTCGACGCGGCTACTTTCAACAACTTGTTCTAAACTTGGTTACTACTACATCATGGGCCGACCTCGGCTGTATCACACATCACAAGATAAAATTGAGGCTGCTCATTCTTACCGCAAGAAATACTATGCAAAGTAAGCACTTGCTTTTCTGTTTTAACTACTGACATGTATCAGGAGACGCAGAAATAGTGCAATCATCAGCAAGAAGAACCGGCAAAAATCTTGCAAACAACACAACTGTCCGACCAACAATGATGTTGATTCCCAAAACCGTAGCAGGTACAGCGTCCGCACGAGATCATCACAAAGGCACCCATGGTGAGCTGCACGTTACTGATAGCTACTTGAACTTTACATTAAACTATCATTAGGCAGGAAGACCTCACAAGTGCCGAAGCTGCACTTGCAGACATTATTGGTGGATCCTCGCGAAGACTTTTAGATGGCTGGTGAATGATCTTTGTCAGTCAGGTGACGCGGGAACATGCATGCATTCAATCAATGTATTACTAGGTGGTATGGAAGGCATTCAACAACGTCTCCGGCTACTTCATGGATCGTTTTGCAGGCTATGGGGACAGGAGAGGAGTTGCAGCGAGTAGATTTGATATCCCATCAAGCATCTAGCCTCATCTTAGCACTGGAGGACTTGCTCATGCATGTCATGGTCGACCCTCACGATGCGCTGGAAGGTCATACACGTGGTGAGCTATTATACCAGACTACTTGTGATATCACTGTCTCGCAGTTATGATAATGATGCGATGTTAGTGATGCATCAATCATGTAATCTTCAATCCTGACACCGGTGATTGCAAGCACCGAAACTCTATCAAACGCTAGCCCCCGTTGGTCTAAGATACTTCTAATCCATTCTACTTGGACCGAAACTCTATCAAACGCTAGCCCTCGTTGGTCTAAGACGCTTCTACTGGAACCTCACGTTGGCCGCTGCCAATTTGACTCATCAACATTAACACTTGTGTTCTAAGGTGAGTGATTTGCCATATCAATGGAAGCGCTAGGTATCAAGCTAACCCAAAATTTCCTCGCTGCCAGTCCGTCTCTCCATGTGTGATCCCCTTTGGGTCGACATCACTACAACACCCTACATGGCAGAGCCAGAGGAGTCTGTGACTGTGTACGAGGGCAGTGTCGAGTTTGATGAGGCCGTCTATGCTATGGCGGATGAATGCTTTATTTTTTCGTATCTAGGAATATTCTACAACATGCCTGCCAAGCGCGATCTAGAACCACCTTTCTACTGCGTTACCTATGGCCGCTACATTGGAGTTTTTCCGTCATATCTCTGGTGAGATTTCCATCTCATTTCCATTTTTATACTTAAACACCCACCTTAGGGATGATATAAAAACTGAACTCCAAGCCCCAGGCCATCGTGCTCCTACCTACTTCGCTGTTCGGTCGCTTTTTCTCGGGGAACAGAAAGTTCATCGTGCCATCCGGCGTAGGCTCGCAGCCAGTAGATGACACACTGTAAGTTTGATGTTGTATCGTTAGTAGCATTTGCTAACATTGCTCGGTCTATAGTCGGGACCGATTATGGGAGAATGTATTCAGTTAGAAGACAATCAGAGTAAGGAAGAGATATAAGGTTTTTTGTGAGGCTCATGGCGTGCAACCAGATTCAGTTAGACGACCAATCGGAGTAAGGAAGAGATATAAGGTTTTTTGTGAGGCTCATGGCGTGCAGCCATTCAGTTAGAAGACAATCGGAGTAAGGAAGAGATATAAGGTTTTTTGTGAGGCTCATGGCGTGCAGCCATTCAGTTAGAAGACAATCAGGGTAAGGAAGAGATATAAGGTTTTTGTGAGGCCCATGGCATGTAGCCAGTATCTCAGGTATTCCGCTTTGGCTGAGGAAAAGAGCAATCAAATTTCTGGAGCATCCCTAGATAGAGATGAGTGTTTGGCTTCATCGACGCCCTTCGGCAAGTCACATGACATGTCAGGCTCGGAGAGCTGCATATGATTTCTGTTTGCTCGACACCATCTAAGAATGTCTATGGGTCCTGGTCCGTCTGAGGCAGGGCCACCATATCCAGTTCAGACTATCATATGTACCAAGGCAATGTCCTCTACCTCGAAGAACTCGCCAAAACGGAAGAGGAAACCAAAGCTCAATTTCTATCGCACAGCGCCAGTAGTCCATTATCGCCAGCATACCCAATACCAAGTCAACAATGATGGCTCTGTCAGTTATACGCAGAAGCGTCTTCTACCTCCTAAGAATGCTAAAGCAACCATCCCGGACCATTATATTGATCAAACTCATGCGGAACGAACTCTATGCAACTCAGACACCTTTTTTTCAATTCCAGAGCCACTTGACGATCTCCCACTCGAAGTATCATTAGATGTTCTAGGCCAACAAAGGAGAAAACGAACAGCAGGTGTACGTGCACTACAATGTTTCACATAATTTGACTTCCCCCTCACAATGTTTAATCAGGACCATCCTTTGTTGACGTGGCTGAATCACAGAGCGTTATTCCTTCGAGAAATGATCCGTCTTGAAGGAAGAGTCAGCATGCGGTTGTGCTTAGAGTGTGATGGTCCCAATCCTGAGTACAAATGTCAGGACTGCTTCGGGTCAGAGCTTCATTGCTCAACTTGTATTTTGTCAGTCCATGCGCACCACCCGCTTCACCGATTGCAGGTATGTCTTTGCATTTAATTGTGATAATAGACTTAATCTCAAATACAGAAGTGGAACGGTCAATACTTCGAGCGAATTTCTCTGAAAGCCCTGGGCCTCCGCATTCAGCTTGGTCACATCACTGGCCGGCAATGTGTCAATCCTCACCGTGCTTTTAATGACGATTTTGTCATTATCGACATCTTCGGTATACACGAAGTGTCACTCGACTTCTGCGGTTGTGCAATAGCCGAAAGTCGTATGCAACAGCTACTTCGAATGTCATTATTTCCTTCAACAACCTCAGATCCAAAAACTGCTGCAACATTCCGCGTTCTGGAGCAGTATCACCTGCTCTCGTTTGAGTCAAAAATATCTGCCTATGAATTTTATCATGGACTTCGCCGGATGTCTGACAACACCGTCTACTTCTCATTAAGGTAGGTTCAAAATTTCAAGTATCCTTATGGTCAGTAAAGCTTCTTTACAGGATCGATACGAGTCGTTTATGCGGATGATTCGTGAATGGCGTCACCTGAAGATGCTCAAACGCTCAGGGCAGGTCACGATCCGAAGGGTGTAGAAGCGACAGCTCAAGGTGAATGTGCTGTATTGTGCCCAGCTTGTCCACATCCAGGGAAGAACCTTCCAGATAATTGGAAAGATGCACCTCGACGGTGAGTTTTAGATAGCTTGAGTGGTATTATCGCTGATATAGATACTATTAGTTGGCTCTACGGATTGTTCCTTGCTATCGATGCAAACTTCCGGTTGAAACGCAAGGCTGTCTCGAATGACAGCGTGGACCCAAGCCTGAGTTCTGGGTGGGCCTATTTCGTGGAGGATGAAGCTTATAAGGGCTTCTTGGACAGCAATTCGGACAATACCCAAGAGGTTGTTTTATTTAAATCTTCTTTTCGTGTATTAATGGTGTTCTACAGAAATCAACATGCTCAAGTCACAACGCTGTGAACATGGCGGACACAAAATCTAATCGTGGACTTGCTGCCACAGGTTTAGGTACTGTTGACTGTGCCCGCCACAACATGAAACGGCCCAACGCTGTTGGAGATCTCCAAAAGGGTGAAAGGTAAATCGTGTTTTGCATTCAGACATTGGTGATCTAACGGTCTGTAGATATGTCAACATGGATTATTTATTCTTCTCAACGCTGCGCCACACTGTAATCGACACTCTGAATGTATCTTACGATATCGCGTGCCAGTGGCACAAAAAATTATGGCACCGTATGAGCACATTTCCAGTCTCAATGCACCTCCTGCCCACTTTCAAAACTATCTCTTTTTTCGTCCCAAAGTTCCACCTTCCTGCTCACATCGAGGAGTGTCAAACCTCATTCTCGTTCAATTTTAAGAGTGGGGTCGGTCGGACTGATGGAGAAGCACCCGAGCGTGGCTGGGCCAATATCAACCCCGTCGCTTCAAGTACTAAAGAGATGGGTCCTGGTGCACGGCGAGACACCCTTGACGACTACTTTGGAGACTCAAATTGGAAAAAGGTAGTTAAACTTGGTTCGTACATTTTCATTGAAATCATCCTTTATTGCAACTGGATACCTTAACCTCGACTACTCCGACACTCAATTGTGCAGACGCACCATGCACCTTCTCTCCATCCACCAGTCGCCTCGATAATACATCAACCCCTTACTATGCCGAGGCAGTTTCGGTCTTGAAGAGCATATTTGGGCTGACCTCCTTTATTATCAGGTCATACTATGCTTCACAAGATGAAGGATGCATTACCGGAGCGGCAGGATCATCACGAAGCCCTTGATGACCTTGAAGAAGGTTTGAGAGGTGAATATAGTGCCGCTCTCGCCCAGTGGAGAGAACAGGTGGAGGCTTGGGAGCGTGACCCTGCAAAGCCAAATCCTTTCGAACGAAGGGCGGAAAGTATGTATGGATCATCAT